AAGGGCAGAAGCTTCCGTCCGATTATGGCAGCGATTTGCCATGCTGTTGGGCCTAAAGATCAGCCGTTTGCAATGCTGAACAACTAGACCCATACGCCCCTGGCTAGCCTGGGGATCTGGCCGATATGCCCTCCGCAATATAGAGCGGATTTGTGTACACAAATCGGGCATCAGAAGTTCCGTTCTGATGTGGGGAGGGGGGATTTTTCCTTTCGATAATGGCCGACGAAGCGCCCCTCCGGCCGCCGACCGACCGGGCTTTGTCGGTTTTGTCAAAAATCTCCGGGCCGGTCAGGTCCAGAAGCGCCAGCCGCGCGATGAGTATCTGCAGAAATGACAGTACCGACGGGGAGATTGATGTTGTGGGGACTGATAATATCGCGACAGAAGGTAACGACCACGTGAAGACCAAGATGCCAAAATTTGTGGAAAACAACACCAGTTTCTTGATGCAAGACGAGATGTTGAAAACTACAACCGGTGTAGATGTAGAAGTTGCAGCTTCCTCGAAGAACAAAGGGTTCTTTGAAAACACCAGCAAGCAGAATTCCACCAAGAAAAGCACCTCCAAAGAAAAGGGCAGTAAGCTGATCACGGTTGCGCACCGGAAAGATAAGAAGCTACTGCTGGATACCACCTTGGACGAGCAAAAAAGACCTTGCGACGGCGTAACTCCTGGTATGACGAAAGAGCCGAACCTGCTGGTGGCGTCGGCGATTGACAATGCTTACCGAGAGATTGATGATCGGGAGAACACTACGGTGAAGAAGGACAAAAACTCCCTCGACGACGATGAGGAACTATTGGACGACAACCAACCCATGACACGACTGGTGATCTCTGCAGACCACATGATTTGGTATGTAAACCCAGACTCCGGCAGCTGCGATGTGCTCGCGGGCGACCGGGAAGGCGGCTATGGGTATCGGGACGATGTTTCCGGGAAGCTGTCCCGGTTTTCGTCGCCGAAGGGCCTGGTGTATGCACTGCTAATATGTCTGGCTCTGGAAATCGAAATTTGTGTTGCTCATACTCGCATTGCAGCCTAGCCGCATCTACGAAATAACAGCATCAGAAGTGTTGCGAGGCTTATTGCAGATTCATTCGTGGAATGCATGACAAACTACTTACCATGTCCAGCACGACAAAAAAGTTATGGCCAAACGCATTCATGCATATGCATCACAGATCTTCTTGTCCTTCACTTCTCGCATCACAAATCCAGACCCAGACGTATTTGCAATGCATATGGTGCAAATCCGGACAATCCTCTTTGTGTCGGACTACTGGAACAACGTGATTCGCTCAGTGAACCTGCTGACCACGCAGGTTGACACGGTCTTGGATATCACGCCTATCGGTCCGGTTTCGTTCGCGATTGCGCCAGACAACGGGATCTTGTACGTTTTAGACGCTGAATACATCCACTACATAAACGTCCTCCGCATCACCTCCGCGCCGAACAGCAAGGGAAGGCAAAACAACGAGCTCTCCGACGCGTTGTCCGGGGGTCTCTCCAGTGCGGACCGGCACGATTTTAACAGTGAGAAGGAGGCGATTTTCAGCGGTCACCGGTCGCGCGCGTCCTCTATCGCGAGCGGCATGACCACCGCGACGGCGCAGACGGAGCTTATCCTGAGGAAAAGCGTTCCCAAGTCGGAATCTCTGCAACACAAATCCGGAAGTTTTGGCAGTCACGCATGACAAGTTTGTCGCTGTACTTATTGTATCAGAAATGCAGGTGGCCAAGGACAGCCGCAGTACAAAGCCACCATCCAAGAATTCTGTTCACAGCTTTACAAATCCAAAAACACGATTGGAAACGCCTCTGTCGGAGATGCCCACCACAAGCGTTCCGTTAGTTCTGGCTTGGAAACACTTTTGCTCAGGATAGAGCTGTGGGATTCTCTAGCCAGAAAGGGCCTGAACGTGCAGCGGCCGAGTCAGATCATGATGAACCTGGCGAACAGCAATATGTCGTCGATTAACCTCTCCGCCGACCGGTTGAGCAGGTTGGGGAACCAGAACGCCGACAGGATCGGCACCGGGGAACTGTTATCAAATGCAAAAGTGTCTGGGTCTGGAAGAATGCAAGATTTGTGATGCATATTTCTCATGACCCATGATTGTCTGTGATGTATGCTCTAGCACCACAGATTTTTAGAACCCTTCCTGATTATGCACCTTCCGCATGAGAAATGCCCTGGCCGTGTAGCAAAAACTGTGCCCCTCTTACTGGTCATGCAATACAAACTTTCTTAGAGTCCAAAAACAGCATGACAAGTTGCAATCCTCCAGACCCAGACATTTTTGCAGTTGATAACTGCATGGAAATAGCCACTTGATAGTACCCGGGGGAGGAGGTGCAGGCGCTGCTGGTACAACTACTGCGTCTCTAGGATCGGACGACGGTAATGGAGGTTCAAACAATGTTCGAAAATCGCTCCTGTCAACAGGCTCAGGTAATCATGGAGTGAACAGCACAAACAGTGAGACCAACTTCCTTTCCGGTCTGAAAGCCGGGTTTTTGAACACTTTAAACTCGCTGCACAACGACGAACACATCTCTGACAAGAAGAAAAAGAAGAAAAAGCGGGCGGAAGTGAAGGAATTTTTGGCGAAAAATCTACCAGTTGGTGGAAGTGCGTTCGTTCCGGGAAATAATCCCGAGAATGGCCTTCACCAGTCGCAACCAGCAGCTGGTGGTGGTGGTGGTAGCTCCTCTCACCCGCATCCACCAGTGCAGCACCAAAAAGAGCAGAAGCCGGACATTGATGAGATGCTGCAGAAGCACCGAAAGTCGATCGCGATTACCAGCGCAGCGGCGGCAGCGGCTCCAAACTACGGGGCAGGAGGATTGAACCCAAACTTCCCCCACCACCAAATGGTGCAGCTGCAGCCGACGGCGATGACGCTGTCTGATTTGGGTGTTGTCGGGCCGAGTCGCCGGGGCTCGATGCTGCACGTGGGCAGCAGCGATTTTACGCGCCGGACGAGTGTGTCCCAGAGCCGGAGGGGGTCTATTGTGAGGAAAAAACCCCCCACCCCATATTGAAAGCGCATCCTTCTGAAAATCTGTGATGCGTATTTGTGACCACAAATCCTATCTGTCTTGCATGCGGGCAAATCCAGAAAATCCGCCGCATTATGCAGGCGGTTTGTGATGCTATTGGGCCTACGCCATCGACGTTTTTCATGCTAGGAGCCTACGCCAAAACGTCGTGGCTCAGGCTTGGCATATGCCTGCAGTCCTCTACTGCAAGACAAATCTGATTTGTGTAGTAAAGTCCAGCATCAGAAACTTCTTTTTGATATGGGGTGGGGGGATTTTTCCTATTGATAGGGTCCAGTTTGAATTTACTGAACAACGCGGTTGACGAAGAGTCGGAAAATATCAACCTGCAAGTTTCCAACTACGCGAGTCAGCAACGCAGGAAATCTATCCCACAGAAAAAAGCTGGCAGGGCACATTTGTAATGCAAAAATAAACACACAGAAAAATCTGTCATGGGCGGGCTCATAGCATACTATTTAGGATATGCAATGCAAATTTTTTTGTCTATTTATTTTTGCATTACAAACATGACCTGCCAGCTTTTTTCTGTGTGATAAAATCCAGCGTCGCTGCCTTGAACATGCAACTGGCGACGACGAATAGTGCTGGCAATATTGCCAACATGACTAACGGAAATTTTGGAGGACCTATGGGTAGTACTAGTGGTGTCTCGCTCCACCTCGGGCCTGGTGCAACTACAGCGCAGGGAGCCCCGGCACTACAACTACATCAACATCCAGGTTTGACACCCACTACCAATTCCCCAGCGACCTTCGGGAGTAGTAACCACTTGCAAGCGCAGCAGACGCAGCAGCGGCGGCTGTCCGGCCGGGGGAGCTTGATGGTGAAGGACGGGAAAGTTTTCAATGCGAGAGACAGAACCTTGTCGCTGGTTAATACTGGAGGTGCAAATCATGCCACGTCTATTGGCGCAAGAGCAACTTCTGGCGGACAAAATTTCAATGCAGAAATTATGACAAACCTGGGCAGCGCTTCCACGTCCCACTCCCGCCGCACATCGCGGGTCGCGATGGAGGGACTGACGGAAGACGGAGAAAGCGTCCGGTTTTTCGATTTGAAAAATCTCCCGGTGCGGTCGGATTCCGGGATTAGTTCGAGCAGTGGTGGCGGGGAAAATGAGGAGGAGGAAATCGATCAGGGTCATCATCTCGATCTGGGTGCAATTGTGGATCAAATCAAGGAGAAAGAACAGGAAGATTTTTGCAAGTCTGAAGAAGATCCTCCTGCGCCTTCCGCGCCGGTGCAGATTCTGGTAAACTCGTCTATCACTGGCACCGCTCCTCCGGTGCCTCCCGCGGCCGGGAACAAGCGTCGAACCTTGATGATGCCGACATTGTTGGATGTGGAAGAAGACGAAGAGGAAAGTCAGACCGTTGAACACGAGGTGGAAAAAAATGATACTGCACCTCCTGCTGTTCTTGATCTTGACCAAAATGCCAACCCGTCCACGACAGAGAAACAGGACGGTGGGGGGACAGTGGCTGTTGCGGAACAAGATGGAATTGCAAGTGATCCCGCTGCACTCTCGTCAGAAGCTGCAACTAGTGCAGTTGGTCCGCCTTCTCAGACAAACATTCAAAACCGGCCGCCCAGTATTCATGTGGAAAGACCACTGCAAACCGGGAACAATGTTCATTCAACATCCGAGAGCCCTTCAAACAATTCCGTGTCGGTAATCTCCCCTATGTCGAATTCCAATTCTATCAGCCTACCGCCGCCCTGTATCGTTCTCCACTCCCCCGGCGGGGCAAATTCGAATTTGAACGTCGCGAACACTGGTGGAATGGCGAAGAGTTTGGCCACTAGCATTGCGGAAGAGGCAGGTGGTGATAATGGAGAAGAGGAGAAAGACGCAGATGACCAAGGAGAATACTACGACATCTTTGTCGGCCCCGCGGAGTCGCGGCTGCCGTCGAAGACGAGGATGGGTGCGGAGGAGGAAGATGAGAGCCCGGGGCAAGGCGTTTCGCCGTCTCTATTTCCCCGGCCGAGCATCGCAGTAATCAAGGCGCCGGAGGATGTGAAGAGGATCGAGCAAGAAAACGGCACGGCGCAACATGGAGGTAAAGACACAACGTCGGAAAAGGAAGGCGAAGGAGAAAATAAATCCGCCAGCGGAAACACAATTACTGTGACAGGAATAGTAGATTCCCAGGGCGACGCTACTTCATCCACCCCGATTCTTGCAGATGGAGCAAGCACAACTTCTACGGCGCTTGTCCCCGCCGCCCAGCATTTCCATTCCCGAGAGCGGCGGAACAGCTTCACGCCGAATCTAGGCGGAACTCTCGCTGGAACTCCAGGAGCCGGAACAAGCACCATGACAAACTTGACACCACTCGCCCAGCAGCAGCGGAATTCTCTCTTTCTCAGCCAGCAAATGATAAACCAGCAAAACCGCCCCAGCGTCGCACTGCAATTACCGGACCATATGAATGCAGCTTCGGTATCGAATGCAAAAATGTCTGGGTCTGGAAACTTGTGATGCAAGTCCGTGAACAATAAGTGCTCTGTAATGCGCCGCCAAGCATGACAAGTTTTTTCGTGCTTCTGTGATGCGTATTTCGCATGAGAAACTGCGCTTTTGCATGACAGACCAGAGGACCTCTTGGTCGCCGCGCAATACAAAGTGCAGAGTCATGCCAGACTACCATGACAATCTTCCAGACCCAGACATTTTTGCATTTGATATTCGGGGGGTATGAACAACTACATGCGGCGGCGAAGTTCCGTCACCGCGCAGCTGATGTTGGCGGAGTCCAGACGAAATTCGAGACGGATTAGTGGGGTGTTGAACAGTGGTCCAGATGGGGCTGCTGCAGGCGGACAATCCGCGGCGCAGCAGTTTCTCTCTCCTCTCTCCTCCGACTCCTTGCTGAACCTCCGGCGCCCGAGCAACTACGACACTCTGAAGAATTATTTTCAGCTATTACGATGAAAAATGCCCCCACCCCACACTTGGCAGCATTTGTATTGCAAACCGTTCCAATAGAAACATTTCCCGTCTTGCATATCTCAGCATCACAAATTTTCCATGCTGAATAGCTCGAATTTGTGTTGCCAAGGGGCCCTACAGCAGTCGGATCTGTTATGCAAAAGGCATCTTGCGCACCTAGCTTCTGCATCAGAAAGGCTCGCAATCCTTTCATGCAAGACGAAAAGCTTTCATTTGGAAACTTTGCATGACAAACTTCTGCAAATTCCGGGATGGGGTGGCATTTTTCATTGTAATATCAGCAACGGGTGAGTTTTATGGCGAACTACGTGCCGTTCGATATCAAAAGGAAAAATCCCCCCTCCCCATATCAAAATGGAAATTTGTAATGCTGATTTGGGGTCACAAATCATCTTTGTCTTGCCTATAGGGCAATAGGAGCCATGTGGCGCATTCCAAAGCCAATCTGCCATGCGCTTTCGGCTACTGCAAACCTGTTTGCCATGTGTACTTGCTAGCCTTCCGCATACCCAAACAGGCTCAGAAAATGCCGCCAAGCACTTTCTGCAAGACAAACCTGATTTGTGTACTCAAATCCAGCATCAGAAACTTCGTTTTGATATGGGGAGGGGGGATTTTTCCTCGCAATGTTCGAGCGGGATTTTTCCACCACCAGCAGTGCGGGCTTTTACGAGAACGGAGCGATGTATGAATTGCAAAAATGTCTGGGTCTGGAAGATTGGAACTTGTGATGCTACCTTTGGACTCTACATGAAGTCTGTATTGCATGAACAGCAAAAGAGGTGTAATTTGTGCTACGCGGAGAGGGCATTTATCATGCGGTATGAGCATCACAAAGCCCTCGCAAAATCTCTGATGCTAGGGCATGCATCACAGACCTCATGGGGCATGCAAAATATGCATGACAAACTGCTGCACTCTTCCAGACCCAGACATTTTTGCAATCCATACGATGGTTGGTTCTGGTTTTTCTGGTGACCACCACCAACAGCAGCTTATCCTGGGCAAAAACGTCCCCACCCCATGGTGAAGTTGGTAAATCTGCAACGCAAACCTCCAAGTTTTGGGAGTTGTGCATGACAAGTTTCCATCTTCAGTGTTGTGCCAGTTAGCAAAGGAAGCCGCATGAGAAAGCCATTTTGTCATGCTCTTTCCAGCATTAAAAACACGATTAGAAATGCCTCTTATGGAGATGCGCATTACAGATGCTCCTGGCATTGCGCATTTGTATGACAACTCTGGGATGGGGACGTTTTTACATAGGATACAGCTTTCCATGTCGCAACAGGAACTGGAACTGCAGAGTTTGCTGCTTTCCGAAGATTTGGATGACAACGATCAGGACGACGACAACATTGGCCTAGATCTAAATGTATCAACTGCAAATAGGTCGCCTGGTAGTTCGGGATTAGTGCAGGAGTAGTTTGTCATGCAGGTTTTGGATGCCTGGCGAGGACTGGAATACTGGGTATAGCATCACAGGTAATAATCATGCAAGGGTTCTTTTGCAGTGCCAATGCGTATCCTGCATAAGAAATTGAAATACCGTTCCAACATGGCCAACAGTGGGCATCTTGTGCTACCCTCGCAAGGCAAATTTTTGTACTGATCTACAGGACGCATGACAAGCTGCAGTTACTTCCCGAGGACCCAAGTGTATTTGCAATGCATAAAACGCCGCGCAAGAGGAACTCCACTGTGTTGGCGAGTGGCGGACGATCTACCTGCCGCAGCCGCTCGGGGCCGCGCATCGGGAATTTACGAAATACCCGAACACCCCGTTGAGTGTGTTATACGTGGACAACAGTAGTGGCTGTGAAAATGATATTACAGATACGTCAACCATAACGGCGACTTCCCCCGCGTGGCCCTACTTCCTGATCGGTCTACTTTCTCTCCCCGCGTTGCTGCGCGTGATACCCCCGAAATTAGAAACGCCAGAGTTGCTGAATTCTGGTTTGCCTGGGGGCGGCGGAAACGGGGAGCAACTTCTAGATCAGCAGAACAGCAGCCAGAACGTGCGGCGCGGCCGATTTTGCACGTTGCCGATTTTTACGCACAAGTGAAAATGCAAAAGGAAGATCAGTGTAAGGCCAATTTTTACGTGTGAAGTGGAGAGAAGCTGCTCCTTCGCGGCTTGACAAGTTGAGGGCGGTGTGTGAATGTGAATACTTTTCATGCAGCAAACACTATCTATGCTCCGAAGTAGAGAACAAAAGAATGTAGAAGTACCGCAGTCAAAGTCATGCTGCAGTGCAAGGTCTGTGATTCTTATTCTTTTGAAGTACCTCCAACTCATCTGAGAAGTTGGCTGGTCGAGTGATCTTCATCTTTTTGCGATCCATAGCTCCGGGTGGCTTTCTCCTGACAGACGGCAGTTCCCACGTGGTGTTTTTCAGTCCAAGCAGTAATGCGATCTGTAAGGATCATCACACAGGCCCACGGAGTTCCTCGACCTCGCAGTCAGCTGTTGCCCCTCGTCACGGAGCTGCTGCCCCTGCGGCCTACCAGAATTATTTCAAAAATAATTCCTCCAGCAAACATAGTAACACCACCAGTACAAGCTCTACTTCTGCCTCTGGAAATCTTAACGCGAGCAGGTCAACATCTTCACGACAGCAGCAGCAGCTCATTCCCATTGCCGGTTCCGGAAAGCGGGGCTACCTAGACGGACCCCTGGAATTTAGCAAGCTTGACTGCCCCGCGGGCTTGTGTCAGGACCCGCACACGCAGCTCGTGTACGTGTGCGACAAAAACAACCATGTGATACGGCAGCTAGATTTCACCACCGGTTTGATCACAACTGTTTGCGGCAATGGGCAGCAAGGCAACGCAGACAGCTGCTACCGCATGTTTCAAAACCTGGACAACCCCAGTTCGGTGTCCTTCTCGGAGCCGCGGTTCCTCTTGATCAGTTGCAGTGACAATTCTGTGCGGAAATTTGATGTCCGGAGCGGCGTGCTGGAAACCGTGCTGATTGGCAGTTAAGGAAACGACCCTGAAATTTTTTTTATCCCTGAATTCTTTTTTTTTTTGATTTGTTTCAAGTGTAACGACTTGTACTTTGGAATTTGGATTAGTGCGTTTGTAGTATTCGAAAAAGAAAAAGTTAAAATTTTCAAGTAAGTAAATAGATTATTTGCTAAAGTAGAAAGTAACCGAAGTTGGTCTTGGGATGATTTCTATTATTTTGGTATTTGTGCACCTTTGTCCACCGGGAAAAATAAAAAATCAACATGGCCCCGGGTTCACAGGTTTTTGGAAAACAAGTCTATCACGACGTAGAGAGATAGATTCCGATCGGCTTGCAAAAAGCTGCATAACAAGATGAGACGGGGGGGATATGATGTAAGCCCTACCATAGGCAGGGTCGAAGATTTGATGTTAAGTAGTGCCACCTCCAGGCAACAAGAATAAGACCAATCACCAGGATATAGTTGAAAGCAGCGAGGACCTCCCGGAATAAAGACAGGCGCCAACGGCGAATAATGCGCGCGCCGGAACTTGTTTACCTTTACGTCGTGTTCAGCTCAGGGGATTGGGTATTCCAAGAAAAATCACGACAGCAGGGAGACGTTGTCTCGGCGTCGCGGGTCGTCGGTAGGGGGGCAAAAGTAGAATTTCGGAAAGGAGCTGCACGAAAAACACCGGGAAAGTTTTTACAGGGGGAGCAGGATCATGTCGGGAGCTCGTTGTACTCAGGAGCAGAAATTTATTTTCGGTGTCGTGGTACCGATTCTAGATCTAGATCTAGTCCATGACAACAAGGATTGCACGTAGTAGATACTGCATGTCGGTTGTTTCGGTACTAATTTCTTAAGTGGAGCGGTAATGTTTAGATCACGACTCTGTATTGAAAAGAACATGAAGAGCAACAGTGGACGAGATATCTTCATACCCTTGGTACGTCGAGCTCAATGAAAACAACAAGTGTGCAATTATAGTAGTAAGACGAAGATATACATATACTTGGTTTATTTTTGTATTTCATTTCCGTTTCCCCCAGCGCCAGCGCCGCCACGTGGTGCATTTCCGTCTCCACAAATAAGCCGCGTAAAGAAGCGCAGTAGATGAAAATGACAACATCAGTGAACGACATCCAGCTCCTGTCCGGCGCAACGAAGGCAGATGGGCTAGAGGCAATCGCCCATTGCATATGGATTGCACATATGTCTGGGTCTGGGAGGATGCAAGGTTTGTCATGCTTGTCTGGCATGACTGAAGAGTTTGTGATGCATGTCCACGAAGAGACCCTCTTGCTTATCAAAACGCAGTTTTTCATGCGGAAAGCGCAACACTATCACTAAGCCGCGCAAAGATTTCTCATGCTTGGCTGTGCATTACAGAGAACTCGGATTCGCTACTTATTCACAAATCAGCATTACAAGTTTCAGACATATTTGCACTCGATATTGCAGGATACACAACGACGAGCCGGTCGCGGTGTGGCGTGTGAATCCGGAGTATGCAAGAAAAAACTGTTTAAGAAGTGTAACTTTCTTGGAGGAATAGCATTACTGCATGACACAGAAGACCTGTCATGCGCGGCTAGTATGTGAAAACACGCACGAAAAGAGCCTCTGACGCATGTCCAGCATGACAGGTGTAGAGTGTCTCGTATCGAGTCTCCAACTCAAAGTTACACTTACACAGTTTTTTCGATAAGGAGAGCCTTGACGTGAGGTGGAAGCAGAGCGCACCTCCTTGGCCGTGTTTTCCGTTGTTCGCCCCTTGTTTACCCCTTGTGTACATGGACAACAGGATCGAAAGGGGACATTTGCAGCACACGCTGTACATTCTGGGCAAGAAGAACATCTACAACTTCGTCTTCCCATACGACGTGGGGGCAAAGAAAGCGGGCTGCAACCGGTGTTGCTACACCTGTTGCTATCACGCCAAGACGGGCTACGAGCCTTTGCGCGTCATGCGGCCCGACGCTTGGGTAGAGAATGTGTGCCACCCCCGCTGCCATCATGTCGATGCCGTGTATCCAAGTAGAAAAAACCGTCTCAGTCGCGAATCGCTTTGCAGGAGCCTCAGCACTACAAATTCAGTCTCTAGTATGATGACAGCACTACACGTCGACCAAGAAGTCGCTGTGACGCGTCAGACTGATGAGAGAAAGCACGCACTTTCTAATCGCATAGGAAGCATGATAAATAAACGTCTCAGGGAATGTCCGCATCACAAGTTGACTAAGGCATTTTTTTGTCGCGATACCGTCAAAATCATGGCGCCGTTTGACTCATCGCTGAACCACCAGCGCGGTGAAAACAAGGGCCACAATGACGGATGGTTCGCGATGTATGTGTCTAATCCGGAGGAAACCTGCACGATGATCAACAACGCGCTTTACCTATGCTGTGCAAAAGTATCGTACTCGTATTGCAATCATGCATATACAAATCTTTTCCTTAAGGTAAATCAGCATTACATTTCGTATGCTGAAGAAATTTGTAATGCATTTATGCGAGTGCGATGCTTTTGCACTGCATATTACCTCGCCCGCCAGGAGGCAGTACAGACGCAGATGGAGACGCAGCCGCCTGCGGTTCCCGTTGGGAGCACGAAGGCCAAACTGCAGGAGTTCGCAGAAATGAGGGACATGGGCCTACTTTCCATCCAGGAGTTTGAAGACAAGAAGGCCGAGCTCCTCAGAGAAATGTAGAATCAGGTATCGAACTATTTCGAAGATAGAAGACAGGAGGTTATTTCGCTCGAAGTAAAAAGTAGAAATTCCATCGAGAATATTTGCTTAAGCGGAGGCTTTTCCGCGAACGAGTTTGTTGCAGTTCTTTGCTGCAACACGTAGAAGAGGTACGCTGAGACGAGTTTGCGTCAGAACCAAAATTTAGATGTTGTCTATAATTTTTGAGCAGATCATCAACTCAGCGTCAACGTACTTACCATCTTGAAAGAACACTCAAAATCATATCAAGCTCCTCAGTGTACTTAATGTTGAAGATCCAGATCCAGAAAAACACTTTACGATCTTCTTAATTCCGCGAAAAATCTAAAGGAGCTATCGACGATAAAAGGTGTTGAAGAAATGATCACTTGTTTATTCTCGGAAGGAAAAGCAAATTCGACAATAGCTGGTAATTCCGAAGGAGATCATTTTTTCGATTGACAGAATGGTACGAATACGACTACGACAACCTTAAATACAGATGGTATTTGCACGGAAAATGCGTTCAATCGCCATCGGCGCAAGCACCCATTCCCGTGATACAACATTTTTCGTGTTTCTTCTCTTCAAATAATTCTTGGCAGGCGAAAAACTAGATTAATGCGACCGGTTGCCAGATTCTAGCGACAGACGAAACTACTAGTTTATTGTGGTAAGTAGAGCTTGAGTTTTTGTTTTAGAAGTTTTACGCTTTGGTAAACGAAACACAACGGCGACCTAAATACAGACAAAATGGGGAACCCGCAGCGAGGCACGAAGAAAAAGAAGCAGAACAAGAAGGGGAAGACTTACAATGTGGTAAGAAAACAGCACGGGGGAAAGCCGAAAGACCATGATCAGGTAGAATTCTAAAGTTGAAGCTCGATGTAGTTGTTGCGCGAATTGCATCAGAATAATGAGGACCACTTTCGAAAAATTGCGTGACAAAAATCTTCACTCTTTGTATTGCATGACAAAAATCTAAATCACTCTCACTCGAGTGTTGAAAGCGAAAGCTTTGTATTGCTTCATCACTATGAAACCCCAGGTTCACGCCAACTTAAAGCCGGAGAACCGGGCGAAGATAGAAACGGAAACCGCGAAGAACTGCGACGAAGATTTGCCAGGTTTGGGCAGGAATTACTGCATTTCCTGCGACCAGCATTTTGTCACGAAAGAAGCGCGAGACGCCCACTTCAAGTCAAAGGCGCACAAAAGGAGGCTAAAGGCAGTTCTATCCGACCCGCACACGCAGGCGGAGGCCGAAGAATTGGGGAAACATTAGCAGAGCAGATTTGTGTATTAAGAAAGAAGTGCACAAACGTCAGTGAAGCACGTTTTTTTTACAGACGCGGTTGTTATTGCGACCGAAGAAAAAAAAGCCTAAACTGGATTCCTGGAAAAATCTCTTTCCAGCAACCTGCGCGGGTCAATGTCCCTACTCTTGGCTTTGATTTCGCGCGGCGTTTAAGATGCAACAGCACGTGAACTACGTCTGTTCGATCGTCATTTGTGCAACAGATAATTCTTTTGTTGGTGTAGTGGAATTCCTGCAACAGACAATTCACGCTGGTGCGACTACTGGTCACTGGAAAAGAAAGGACTGATCTTGTACTTCAGGTGGCGATTTTCGAAGATGAAGATTAAAAAAGAGAAGTAGTACATAGATCCAATTATAAGTTTGTCTTCGTCCACCTCTTTGTGTTGTCGCTGGACGGCAGGCAAGATCTTTGAGTTGATGATGGCACAGGATCGCGGTTCGTTTTTGAGATCATGGTCGATTCGGGTTGGTGGACACAAAGGATGGTAGTCTGGACGGGCATATTGTAGCTAAAAGATTCTTCAACTTCAACTTAGAGCCCGGTCACGCCGTGATGAAGATGGTGATGATGATGATCGTATTGAGATGGGAGCAGCTCAGCCGTATTCCGTCTCCGTAGCACTATTCCTTCATTTTTGCGTTACGGTTACAGCCAAAACCATCAAACTAGTCGTGCGCCTACATCCACAGTCTAGCGCCTTTCTTTGGTTGACTCTCTCAATCGCGCTACCTCTCATCTAGTTCTAGTTCAGTAGACAGAAGAACTGATAGCACTTTCGAAGATTCTTTGTCGTCAATGTCTAGGTCAATACAGGCCTGTCGAAGACGCATTTATTCGACATTGTCACCACCTGCGAATACATGAGTACAACTTCTATGAAAACATAAACAAGCACCACTAGTACAATCGCATCCGCTCGTGAATAAAACCAATCCGAGGAAAAATGTCGGAGTGCCCCGTCTGCCTCGAAGATTACGACACGGCGGAGAACCAGCCGTTTCTGTGGCCCAGGTGTGGACACGGGGTGTGCCGTCAATGCCTGCATGAGATAAAACGAAGCCAGGGCTGGCTCTGGAGCTCCAGTCCCCCCTGCCCGACGTGCCGCCAAAACGACTTGCCCCCTTGCTTTAACCGGCAGCTGGCCGAGTTTTTGGAAGAGAAACAAGCTGCAAAGCATCAACACGTTGTTGACCAAAGAAGTGGCCCACCAGTGCCCGGTGATCGCCGAACTAATCGGTTAAGGGACGCCATGGAGCAGGCGTTCCGAAGCGCGGCGGCGTTGACGCTGTCGGAGCAGGAAATCGGAGAACTGGCGCAGGCATACAGGCTTTGCCACCAGCTTGTCGACGTCTTGGGTTTCTGTTTTCTCCTTTCGAGCCTTCTGTTTTTGATTGCTCTCTTACAGATTCCGTTCAAGCACGAATGGAACGAGGTCCCGACCCAACTGCAGATAGTGTACGAGAGCACGCTTTTCGAGAAGTGGGTCATCGGGGTTTCTCAAGGGAAAGACCTCATATGGCTTTTATTCTATGGCGTCAGGAATGTTGTGGTCTTCTTTTTCGAAAATTTTGTCCAGGTGCTCTACTTCGGATTCTTCTATGGCGTCAAGAATGCTGTCTTCTTTTTCGAAATTTTTTTCCGGGCGCTCTACTTCGGATTCTTCTACGGCGTCAGGAATGTTGTCTTCTTTTCCGAAATTTTTGTCCGGGTGCTCTGCGTTTATCTCACGGGGAGCGATTTCTGTCCTTGCATAAAAGTCGCTTCATTTTCTATTCTTTTTTTGGATATCCATCGAGGTGGGTCCACCGTTACTAGAGGCAGGCTGACGTGGTGGGCCCTTCTGATGATCTGCCTCGGCAGCTTGAAATTGGCTGAATGGTCGGGACTTTTTTGAGTTCCATAAAGTGCACAAACATAAGAACACGACTTTCTTCTACAGGCGCGGCTTCTATTGTGACCAAAAAAGATGAAAACGCTCTTTGCGATTTGGAACTGCTCGTGAGCGTGTGTTCGGTCGGCATTTTTAGCTGGTGTTGTGGAATGCGTAAACGAAATATTGGCACGGCCACGGCTCGCCACCGAAAAAAAAAGATCTTGTAGCGATTTTCCAAGATCAAAAGCACATGGATCCAAGTTAGGTCTGCCTTCTTTTTGTCGCTGGGAGTTGTACTATTTTTGAGCTGATCAACATGGCGCATGCAGCTCGCGGTCTTGGAGATCATGTTTTATTTGTGCTGGATGTTGGCGTTGGGCGAGGCGTTGTATTTAGCTGATTTTCTACCACAATATCCCGATGTCTTCAGCACCTTGATGATGTCGGCGTAGATGACACGAGCCTGGGTTTTTTAGATTGGCGTATATTCTTTTTTGCTTTGGTGCGTTTATTACATTGCGTTCTGCTCTACAATGCCAGGCAGCACAGAAAAAGCACATTATAGGCTGAGAAAGATCTCACTGGCTTCATCCAGTCAGACAGAGCTGATAACAAGTAGCCCAGTCGAGGGCGGAGTAGATCAGGTCATCGCCAAATGATCAATTTGAACCTGTACCGGCCCCCTCGCTGCTCGAACATAAAGACATTGAATCGACAATCGTCTCGCCTGCGAAGACTACACAGTGTTTTGAAAGGAGGTACAACTACACTTCTATCCAAATAAAGTGGTACCCGTTTCCGTCGTCAAATCGCACGACCCATCAGTCCCTGAAAACCAATCCTTAAAAAAGAATGTCGGGTTGCCCCGTCTGCCTGGAGGACTATGACACGGCGGACAACCGGCCATTTGTCTGGCCCAGCTGCGGACACGGGGTCTGCCGCCACTGTCTCTCCCACATAGAACACAGGGAGGGCACGCGGAACCCCAAATGCCCCACGTGCCGAGTGGCCGGCTGTCGCCCCTGCTTCAACCGCCAACTCGCCGACTTCTTGGAGGAGAGAGCTGCGGCAAAGGAGGAAAGTGGCCAGAATGTTGGTACAACTTCTTCTTCTTTATCGCCGCAGAATAGTACAGCTCTACTTAGCAGCAGGAGTAGCAGAACGGAGGGAAAGAAAGTTCGCAGACTGCTCCACCTTCTGTTTTACCACCTTATCGACGCCGTGGGCAACTGTTGTCTTCTCTTTGGCTATCCTGAGTAGAAACACGGCCCACGGCACGAGGACCCCAGAGGTGTCATGCAGATTTGCATCTAGAAGTACAGGATTTGGAGCATTTATAATTGCACACGACCCGCCCCATGAGGGGCAAAAGCATTTCTGGTCGACGTGTTTTCGCATTTGTACTTACGCTGTAAACAAGGTGTGTGATGCGGCTGTCCTTTCTATTAACCAGCACTACACTTCTGCAGAAAGAAACTGGATGACATACGTGACTCCCGAGCAAGCTTTGAGATTTTTGTTGCAGAGGTGGTTCCAACTTGATGACTTTGGGGTGTCGTGGACGTTTTCTTTTTCACAGGATACGGGCTTTATGATTTTCGTTGGGGTGATATGGAGAAAAAAAAGTTTGTCACAGTCACTAACTTGCAGGCTTTGCATTACAAATTTTCTCAGCATCACAAACTTTCCTTGTATTGCAGAAACACTAGGGAAATCCCTAATAAAGTTTGGCTATGATGCATTTTGACGCATGACAAACAATTTTGTATTGCAAAAATACGCATGAGTGATCGTGACGAACTTTTTTTCTTTGATAGGTGATCTTTATGACGGGCTCCCGAACCAACTCGTATGCAAATGCAATGCAAATATGATGTCTGGACGAGCTGGGTCCGGATCTGTCCTGCGATTGCGAAATTTCAAGGGCAACCAGATCTGTAATGCCTGGATAGGTGTGGCATTCGGATTCGCATTCGCATTGCCAATGGGCAGCTTTTTTGTCGTGTTGGGAGGGAGTTTGGCATGCGTTTCATTACGAATAAATCTACAAAAAGCCACGTCGCAAAAGAACTTCTGATGCTGCTACTACACCGTAATATCGAAGCGGCCACTCAGCAGAGCAAGTATCAACATCGCAAATTTCCAGATCCAGATCGATAATTTGCAATGCATAGTTCGAGCAATTCTACCATCGCTCGTTTTGGGAGAAGATACTCAGCGGAAAAGACGGCCTACTTGAGTCACTGCGCGGCATCGGGACCCTACTTCTTTTCCTCGGGAGGTGTTTCTGGGCGTTCTATGAGTACCTCCACGCGGGAGTTTTTTTCGTGTGGAACCTGCTTTCCGAGCACGCTGCTTCCGCGTGGAATTTCCTGTACGACCTGGGTGGCCTTCTACCCGGAGCCTGTCACCCGGAGGGAGGCACGCGTTTCTATCCCAGAGAAAAAAGCAGGCAGGGCATATTGGCAAAAATAAACACACAGCAGAAAAATCTGTCATGGGCGGCCCGTTGGCGTGCTGCTCAGGATGCGCAGTGCTGATGTATTAATTTTGCATTTACAAATATGACCTGCCTGCTTTATTTTTTCTGTGTGATGCTTTCCACTGGAACACTGTCCGGATCCTCGGAGACATGGATGCCTGTTGGGAGTTTGTGAGAAAGCTGCCCCTGATCCGGCTACTGTTCTGCGCTGGTACATCAACTATGGGCGGTGCAGCGGACAGCGCAGGAGCATCGACAACTGCAACCTTTGTGGACCACGGGTTAATAAACGCGACTCAGCCCGCGGCCCAGACGGTGATGAAAAACGTGAATGACTTTGCCAGGACCGGTATCCTATGCAGAAACGTCCCCACCCCAGATTTGTAATGCGAATCTGCATCCTCAAAGCGTTTCTCATGCGGAGACCCATGAGAAGCACTTCTTTCTAGTGGTGTTTTGTGCTTTGTGATGCAAGAATCAGCATGTAATGCAAGATCTGTGATTCTGCTGCACTAGCGAAACACGACAACGCTGCGCGCTCAAATTTGTCATGCGCAACAACCAAGGCTTGTTGATCTCTCTAGCAAGTTTCCCATCTTGACTAGCAACAGGATCCCATCTTGACTAGCAAGTTTCCCATCTTGATCTCTCTAGCAAGTTTCCCAGGGATCGCATCGTAGAAATAGGTCGGTCATTCGTGTTTGGCTCATCGCGGTTGCCACGTCGTTAGCGCAAGGTTTTGACTAGGTATGAAAAAAAAAAAAAATTAAACATAACAGAAAAAAGCACAACAATGATACCAGCACCTCCCCAATGAAGGGGAGGTGTTTGCATGATATTTCTTTTTTCTCATCCAAAAACTTAGACCATTTTTTTTTCTTGATAAGAAGGGGGAAGTCCTTGCATGGAGTCCTAGTTAAGACACATATGCATAAGCTGCTCCAGGTCAGGGCAACTATCACAGACAAAAGTGCAGATGGAGCATGGGTGTTCTACTTGTGTGAAGTGTGATAGGCCGTGGCTGCAGGTTTCGATTACCAAAAGATTCTGAATGCGCGGCACTAAACCTTCAAGTAGGTAACAACATCTGCTATGTGATATGTATTCTGAGAAAGTCTCTCGCTGCATTTTCGAATGTGAAACTATGTATGAGCACTGGCTTGGAATAGCAAATATGTATGCAGAGTAATGTGATGAAGAATACAGAGTGCCTTAACAAAGAAAGGACATGGCTTCTTTTCATCTTAGGGGGCCCAAAGGAAAGGGAGAAAGAGAAGCAACAGCGGAGGAAGAAGACTAAAGAAAAGAGGCGCCAGGTACGAATGGGTCTGCGACCTCCTTGCTATCGTGTTGCCGCACCATAGCGAGGTAAGTGCCAGACTCAGGGAGCTACCTGCTGATCGGAGCAACAGACCAAGACTGAAGGGCTGGACGGGACAGGTATTGACGTGTGAGCGCTCTGTGCCTGACACGTCACACATAGCAACAGAGATCAAACGGGCGATACGATTCACACACCACGCCGATGTTGCTATCTGGAGGCAAATCGCAGTCGCATCGCACCCCCGGGAGAAAAATTAAAGACACAGATGAGAAAAGGGAAAGGCACGCAACTAGGTGACGCGCACTTTTGTACATCTATTTCTCATCGAGTCCAGCAGAATGAGCCAAGGACACCGCCACCAATCCGTCAGCGGCCGCCCCAGGGTGGTAGGTGTCGACCAGACCGACGGCGATATATTCTGCTGGGTGTGGGATATAGATTGCCAAAAGAGGAGGGAAGTATGTCAAAATATGCATGAATTGAGTGTGACTCCCGGTAGGGAAGAGCACTAGTGAGCTTGAATTACCTCTAACTATTTAAAACTACAGTTTGGCATGCAGAGGTAAGGCAAGCTTGCGCCACCGATCTGTGGGAGGCCTAGATAATTATTGAAACTGGAAGTGAAGTTGTCATGCATGACTTTGTATTGACTTGTATGAAAAGCCTATGCACTGTGTAGAGCTAAGATTTGTATGAAAAATGAAATTTGTATGAACACTTCCAAGTGCGATAATTTCTGGTAACATTCTAGCGGCAAGAATAGTACCAGTCTGGGCCTCCGCAGGGAGGTAGGAAGACATACTCGAGGCAGGGCGCTAGCCTCTTTGCGCGCTAGGGCCCGAGGCCCCTTTTCCTTTTCTCCTTATTTTTTTTTTGCATGCGGGTAGCCGTGTATAGAGGCGCATCCCCTCCCGCAGGCAAAAAAAAAAAAAAAGTTTCCCATCTTGACTATGGGGTGGGGACGTTTTCCCTCAGGATAACCGGTCTTCATGGAGCAACAACATCAAAAGCGCTGGCTTTTTCGTCCACCCCGGAACAACCTTTCGACGCAGCATCGGTGGAGATGTGGAAAAATAGTGGGTTTTGTCCACTCGCGGCGGTAGAGATGTGCACTGATTGGGGGGTGATGCCGCGGGTGTTTCTGTCGTTTTGCGAAACCGCCGTCGTGAAAGGATTGGTGGGGAGGGTACAGAATTGAGGAGGAAAGGATGTTGTTCTACAACTACTTGCGAGGAGGAAAGTACTATTCATACTTTTACACAGTACTAACTGTTGATACACGTACATACATCAGAACTACACCGGGACCACCTCGAGCCGAAGTGCAGAATATACGACATTTTCTCTGGAAATGAACTCGTCCGGTCCCTACTACATTCAGTCCCCGTGATGTCTTCGCCCCCAAAAAACAGTGAAGATCTGTCAGACTGTGCTGGAAGCATTTTCTCAATCTGCTGTGGCCGTTGGCGGATCGGTCGCCTGTGTTGACGTGTCATGATTCTTCCTGTAACCGTCACAAACCGCTGGTTCATCTACGATAGACCAGACTCGGGGCCCTTCCACGGTATTAAGTATCATCGGATGAAGATCCTTTTGGTGCCGGTCCCAATGTGCTAGTAACACACCGACCAGGCTGTATCTGTATCACGACCTTCCACGAAAATGAAGTAAGTAAAAAAACTTTTGTCAAGATGGTTTCTGTAGTTTCTCTCCCCATGCTCCTCTCGTTTCAGTTTCTCTTACTCAATTTCGTGGTCGAGACTGCGCAGCGCGCCACCGCGTATCCCGGGTTGACTAACGTTCGGGGCGGCGGCAAGAACGGTCGAACAAATGCGGGGACGAGGAACAGTGGTGCGTATGGAACATCAACTCGTGGAGGTCAACCCATCTCTGGACAAGAGGTAGAGCCCGCAGATGCAGAGCCTGCTGGCGCGGCGCGTGGAACAGCATTTGCAGCAAATTCTGTGCCCCCGCCTGCAGCTCGTCCTGACGACTCGCACACCACGACGGACCCAACGCGGGAGCCAGACGTCGAGCCTTCTTTTGAAAACCCTTCTTACAAAGCCCCGACCGCGATTGTTTTCGCGGGCGTTTCCGGTGCGGAGGAGACAATTGAAGCGAACTTGCAGAATCTAATTCTTCCCTACCAACCCGCGCACGTCTTCATCTGTGGGGCAGACAAGATAAGTCCGCAATACAGGAGTTATTCTTCTCCCTCCACCGGCATGACATCAAATGACCATGAGTATCTTTACCGAAAGTGGAAGCCGTTTCTGAAAGGCGTGAATTGGAGCCCACACCCGCGGAACAACCCGCTGCAGTACACGATAGAGACGAAGGAGGAAATTCTCGCCGCGTTGAAAATCACGGAGGAAGAATACGAAGAGTACGGCGGGCGGTATTTTCAACAGCAAATCTTCAACCACACGTCCACTTCACCGTATTGCCTAGTCCACCCTCTGAACCAAGTTTTGGACTTGATTAGGTGCTGGAAATTGGTGGAGCTGGCGGAATATGAAATGCAAAAGTATCGTACTCGCATAAATGCGTTACAAATTTCCTCAGCATTATGAGAAATAAAATTTGTGATGCGGATTTACCTTAAGAAAATGCATGACTCATGACTGCCATTACGATAATTTTGCAGTTCATACGGAAATTGAGCAGGACATGAAGTACAAAAGAGTGGTGTTCACCCGGTTCGACAACATCTTCTTGCAGAAAGCAGACACGGAGATTCTGAAAGGGCATTTGGAGGACGAAGGAGGAGGAAAAGCTGAACCAAGCACCGGCTTATCATCATCACATCATCGGATGAGAAAGAACGACTATTATTTCCCAGGTTCCCGTCCAGCGACAGAGTCTGTGCTGGACATGCACCAGACGACCAGACTTGCTCCAGGAAGCAGTAGTTTCTCGACTTCGACGCATGGTGAGCAACCGGTTGGAGCAGTACAACAAACAGCACCCCTCGACGTCCCTGGGCAGGGACAACCGCAGTCCACCACCGCGTTTGCACCACCAGTCATAGAAAAAAACATCTGCTTCGTGCCCTGTCCGGGCCGCGACTGGGGCCACGGCATTTGTGACCACCACGCCATTTGCGACCGCATTGGGGCGGATCATTATGCCGGCGCCCGGATGTTTTTGCTTACGCGTGGGCTGAATGAAATCTGGCTGCAGAAGAAATTGTTCGATAGTTTCATTCCCGAAGTGGTGCTGAAAATCGCCTTGGATTTCACCGGAACGGTGATCAAACGATACCGCCACTCCCATGTCCGGACCTGCAACAAGCACCAGTACGAGACGGGGTTGCTGTATCCTGCGAAAAAAGTGTTACAGTTACACACTCTGATGGAAGACAAGCAAGACAGACAAGAATGCAGGAATTTCTTGCCAGCCTCTTTGCATTCGCGTTTTCGTCCCTTATGGTCTGCGCATCACAGGTTTTCTTTGCTATGTCGAGCAACTTTGTGATGCAAAAATTCCAAAAAATGTGTAATTGTAACACTTTTTTCCTGGGATATGCTGTACGGAAGACGCAAGCACTGCTACTACAACAAGGCACTCGGTCTGTACCACAAGGCTGGGGTTCACTTCCCGGATAACTTCTCCGCCTTATTTCGACAAGAAGCGTGGAAAAAATTGCGGGAGGTTAGAGCAGCAGATGCAGTAGTGGCTGCAGCGACACTTCGACCAGGAGCTCCAGATCATGAGTACAACAATCCTGTGGCCGCCCGACATGACGTAAAGAACAGGAAAATCAAGCTGCAGGTGCGGACCGGGAAGGGATCCAGATTGCATGAGACGATCTTGGAAGATGAAGATTTGTTTCGGTACAGTGATAACAACGATCAGCTGGCGTTTGAAGGGCTCAAGTTTGAATTGTTGAAGAACGGAGCTGTAGCTGCTGCGCATGAGAACAAACAGTCTGCGCCGGTCGCAACTACGCATGCGTATGAAGAGCGCAGCTTGAACAAGGTTTTGAAAGAGGTTCTGTTGCAGGGCTCGGGTACGGAGGGTATAAGATCTGTTGTGGAAAGCCGCAACACAAATTCTCTCTACCAGTACTTCACCGACAACTACAAGTGGTTTTTCAATCCTTTCTATCAGATGCAAATATGTCTGGTAATTCTGGAAAGAACTTGGGATGCAAGTCTGACAGTGGTGGGCGCACGACTGCTACACGCAGCCAAGCACGACAATTTTTTGAGCTGCTACGTGTTGCGCAACCCGCATGGCAAACTGCGGCTCTGCGCCACAGCCAAGGGCCAGGCCTTTTACGTGTCTATGCATCACAGAGTTCACGCCCGTAATGCCAGAGTGATATTTGCAAAAATGCATACTTTCGCCGTGCACTTCCACAACCCGGCCATGCAGACGATTGTCGGCTTCTTCCGCCACTTTCTGCAGAACGTGGACCCTGGGTACTTCGAGAAATGGCAGGCCTGGGTGGAGAGAGGACAAGGGGCTTCAGAGGACGGAGAACCAAGTATTGAAAACGAGCAAGAAACTATCGTACGAAAAAAATGTTTCACTGTAAGGATTTTGCAAGTTTTGCATCACAAGTTTGTTCTACACCAGAGAGAAAATTTGCCATGCGAGATTCCTAAGGGAAAACACAGCTAAAAATCCACTGTCTTGCATGTGTACCAAGACAAACACCTCTCAGATACATTTTCTGCATTACAAGTTTACAGTGAAACAGTTTTTTCTTGCGATAGAAACAGACGAAGTCGAGTTGATGATCCGAGACAAAAAATTCCAATTGCTAGCCGAGGAACTGGAGCAGCAACTGCTTGCGATGACAACATCAAATGGTAACCACACCGGAGGTTCCGAATCTTCCGAGCTGCAAGAAGATCATAGCCAGAGTGTTGCTGATGTTCCTTCTCGACTAGCCCCCGCCCCGCTTCGCTACGACAACCCTCTTGAGATTGAAAAAGTCTACCACTCAATTCTCCTCCGCTCCCCGTTACTTCGGAAAGCGATGCAGCTATTGAGAGGAAAAATCCCCCCTCCCCATATCGAAAAGGTATGCTTCCGAAAATTTGCGTTGCTGATTTGAGGTCACAAATCACATTTGTCTTGCAAGAAGACAATGGCAGAAGCTTCCGCCCCATTCTGGAAGCGATTTGTCATGCTGTTGGGCCTAAAGGGGAGCCGTTTGCAATGCTGAGCACCTAGACCCATACGCCCCTACCTAGCCTGGGGATCTGGCCGCAGTGCCCTCCTGCAATACAAAGCTGATTCGTGTACGCAAATCCAGCATCACAAACTTCGTTTTGATATGGGGTGGGGGGATTTTTCCTTTTGATAGCAGCAGGAGAAATCACTGTTGGAGGATTTGAACCGCAACCGAGATTACTTCTTTCGACTATTCCATTCGCTGTTCAGCTCGAGTGTCGTGAAACCGGGGTTGAGCAATGAGGGCGAGAAGTTGTTGCTGAAAAACCCACTTTTGCAATACTCCTTCAACTACGTAAAGGTGAATGTTAAGCAAGCTGGGAAGACGCAGAGCGAAAGAACCGGTGGCGGTAGTCGCGAAGATCATGCTCGACGTGGTCCTGTGACCGGCTACGCAACCGGCGAGGTCGACGGGATCTTTTCCGCGCCGGATGCTACAGTGAAGGTCTCACGAGATGAATCATCACCTACGGGGGGTGGGATCAGAGAAGAGGACGACCAAAGGAGCCGCGGCGAGCATGAGGACCAACAAGCCGGTGAGGCAAGACCAGAACAAGATGAGAAGCCGCCGGAGCTGCAGTTCACGGAGGAAGAACTATTCGACCGGACGTGCTGGCTTCCCTGCCCGACCATCGACTGGGAATTCCTTTGCCACGCGTTTGGAATTTGCGACAACGACGATAGTGGAGTCGCTGCTTCTGCTTCTGGGGAAGACGTTGAAGATAGCAGCAACCATTCGTCTCAGCAGTCTTCCCATAAAAATCAAGATAAACCTCCGCAAGAAGGACCACCACAACTCCCCCCCTCCCCCCTCCTTCGGACGGAGCTGCAAAAGGAATTGATCCAGGCCTACAACAGCTGGGTCATTCCGGATCACGGGATATCAAATGCAAAAGTGTCTGGGTCTGGAAGGTTGGAACTTGTGATGCTGTCTCTGGATTCAAAAAAAATTTGTATTGCATGACCAGCAAGAGGACTCCATTTTGTGCTACGCGGAGAGGGCTTTTCTCATGCGGTAGAAATATCACAAAGCCCTCTAAAAATCTGTGATGCTACGGCATGCATCACAGACATCATGGCTCATGGAAAATATGCATGACAAATCTCGAAATCTTCCAGACCCAGACATTTTTGCACTTGATACGGGACGAGATCCGTCGATTTCGAAGTGCACGGACGAGGCTACGGAGAGAGATACGACGCCTTTGCGGACAATTGGATTGCGCAGGAGAGGGACAGGATTGATATGCTGGAGAAACCTACTGCATCATCACCTGGACTTACGGATGGTAGCTCGTTTGATTCATCTTCTGCACTACAAGACTCGTCTGCAGCTGCTGCCAGTGACCGCGAAAATGATGCAAAAGCTCCCGACAATGCAGAGTCTGCACTAGCGGTTCTTGCCCCCGCGCACCAAGCATCGGCCACTGCTACGACCTACAATTCCGCAAGAAGTACTAAATCTGTCGGCAAAGATATGCAAGAAAAAAACTGTGTAAGTGTAAATCTGTGATGCAGAACACGCAGCAGAGTTACACCTGTCATGCCAGACAGCCATGCAGTCTTCTTTTCATGTGTGTTTTCCCTTACAAACCACGCATGACAGGTTTTCTCTGTCATGTAGAGCAAATTTGTAATGCTGTCAGCCAAAGATAGTTACACTAACACAGTTTTTTTTTTGGATAAAAGAAGAGTACGCTTCGCAAGACCGGGTGCGGAATTTAGAAAAAGCGAGATTGGAGAAAGAACAGTTGCTGAAAACACGCCAGGACAATGTAGGTAGCAGTACAACTAATGATCCGCAGGAAGGCAAAAAACCAGCAAAACTGGTGACCAAATTCACGATCGAGGAGCTCATGAAACTTTGGGAGGGGGAGGGCGAGATGTTCTACGGTGGAAGTGCAACTTCTAAGGACGGGAAAAAAAGCAAAAAGGACAACAACAACAGCATACCCGACGTTTTTCTCCGCGAGCACAAGAGCTACGAAATTCAAGAACTAGAGGCGAAAAAACGGGCTTTTCGGATCATGCTTTCAGTATATTGCAAGGAAAAATCCCCCCTCTCCATATCATAACGAAATTTCTGATGCTGGATTTGTGTACACAAATCAGCTTTGTATTGCAGGAAGGCACTGCGGCCAGATCCCCAGGCTAGGTAGGGGCGTATGGGTCTAGTTGTTCAGCATGGCAAACGGCTCCCCTTTAAGTCCACCAGCATGACAAACCGCTTCCCTAATGGGGCGGAAGCTTCTGCCCTTGTCGTCTTGCAAGACGCGCGCGATTTGTGACCTCAAATCAGCAAAGCAAATTTTCGGAAGCATAGGTTTTCAATATGGGGAGGGGGGATTTTTCCTTTCGATACAGTGGGCGAAGTGACAAGGGAAAACAACCAAGAGCCGAACGATCCGCTAGAACAGGTGGAAGCTTCTCAATCTTCTGCAGGCACAAAAAGCACACGTCCAAAGTACGATATCACGAGAAAAAAGTGTATACAGTTACACATTTGTTGGAGTTTCTGCATCACATATTTTCTCTGTGTGGCAGAGAAAACTTGTAATGCGAAGATCATAAGGGAAAACAGGAAGGAAACAAAGCTCCGAAGCATTTCCTGCATGAGAAAGGTTGTCTCTGTTGCCAGTCTTGCATGACAATGTGTAACTGTAACACTTTTTTCTTGGATATACGAGCGCGCCGAGCAGGTCGCGTGTCAACAGGACCTGGGGAAGCTGTATCTCAAGTACAACTGGGCAATCGACGAGTATTACCCCGACGCGAAGAATCACTTCTACAAGGTTCCGATGCAAACGATCTACTCGGAGACGCAGCCGGTGACGTGCGTGCACCCAAGTCTCCCGGATCTGAAAAACCTCATCGTGCAAAACTCCCCCTGCCGGGCGTATACTTGGAAGAAATCTTGGAAAAAACCGCTCAACCGGGCGTACTTCAAAAAGCAGAGCTGCAAGTTCGGGAGAGAATTGAAGCTGTTGATGCCGAAAGCAGCTGAAGTGCTGACGAGAAAGAACAACTGGGCGAGAGGGAAAGTGGAAGAAGAAATTCAGTACAACGATGATGGGGACCACGTCAAAGTAGACCCCACCACGACCACAACCGCCTCTAAAATGTTGAACGCTGGTGTTAGCTACGTGAACGTCAGCCAGGAACTGCCCTTTCTCAACTTCGAAAACGAACCGACGATCGAGAAATACTGGAAGTCAAGACCAAGAAATTCCCTCGTCCCTCCACACTCACACATTCCCAGAAATCTAACGACCACGACGGTGTTCGAGTTTCTGAAGTCCACGCTGCTCCCCATCGTCTTTTCCCAAGACGGGAACACGGTGTTTCTCCCCAGACTAGAGCCGGCGCAGTTAGATACGACGATACCCGGACATCAGGCGTCGTGAGGAAAGGGGTGGTCAGGGATGATTTTACTGAACTGCGCGGCATGTTGAAATTGAGAAATGTAATTTTCGCGCAGGAGGACCTTGATATCACGTCTGGATCGTGCAGCACAGGACTACATGTTGCCATATGGCTTTCACATCTAATGATCGTCGGACGCGTTTCATGCCTGCGCATGATGACTGCGTGTGTGTATGCAACAACCTTGAGCTCCGCCTTTTCGGCTGCAGTGGAGTTCGCACAATTAGCGATATTGATAAATCTGATGCGCTTCTGTAGGACAATTGGAAGCGTCACTCCGCTCCTGTCCCTCCTCCTCCTGTGGAGCCGTGTTTCTGTTCGGTGTTAAGCTGCACACTTTTTCTTTTTGTGAAATTGATTTTGGAAGATCCTTTTGACCTGCCTGTCAACTCTGAAGAGATGTGGTTTTCTTCTTGAAACTTTCTCTCCTGGTCCTTTCGGTGCGCAGCGCTGGGTCCTGTTTTGCTACGGAAAAGGAGCTCAGATCGTGATCTACTACTGGAATATTTGTAAAAAAAATTTGTCGTTATTTTTCGTTTTCTAAGTACATGATTTAACAATATCTGGGGCATTTTCATTAGGCACCACTTCATTCCTGGCATTTATTGTCCCTCTTTTGGCCTCCGAATTGGATCGGAATCGGACATCTTCAGTCGTGAAAGACTTTAAAAAATTCGATGTGAAACTCTTGGCTTCTTCGATAAAAAAGACCAAAGACACGACGACCATGTCGGACATCACTACCGTTCGTCTGTTGGCCCCCTACCCTGCCAAAGGGGATCAACATTTCATCCACGCGGCCGGGGGTTCCTGTACTACAGGAACTACTACAGCTACTACCCCACAACCACCTGCGGGAGATGAAAACAGAAAGTTCAACAAGGACCACGTGGAAGTTCTGACTTCCTACTCCTTAACCGGCGCTGTGGTCCTCGACGGTACAAAATCGACTTCCCTCACCGGTTTATCCTCGAGTGCCAACGTCGTTTCTCTGCTGCGGGAGCGTTTAATCGCCGAAAACGCGGTGCCCTTGCTCGGGAACGAAGAGATTACAGTGAAGAACAACGGTATGGAGAGAAACAAGTTTGTCACAGTCACTAACTTGCAGGTTTTGCAGTACAAATTTTTTCAGCATCACAAACTTTCCTTGTGTTGCAGAAACACTAGGGAAATCCCTAATGAAGTTTGGCTGTGATGCATTTTTACGCATGACAAACAATTTTGTATTGCAAGAATGCGCATGAGTGATCGTGACGAACTTTTTTTCTTTGATAAACGGATTGGAGGTGGACGTGAAATTGCTGTTACCGGAGGAGTTTTTTCGCGACGATAGTGCCAAGAAGCTAGGAGGTGAGAAACCTTGTCTTTCGACGTCCCAAGATGAAGATGAAGCCGCGACGACTGGGAATAATACCATCGAAGAGCACGAACCCGAGATTGAAAAAACCTTGCTCCACAAGTGGCTGGCCTGGCTGGTGCAGAAGGCGGTGGATGAAGATAGTGCGGACAATATCCTGTGTAAAAATGTCCCCATGATCCCAGAGTTGTCATGCAGATTTGCGATTACAGGAACATTTGTAATGCGCATCGCCATGAGAGGCATTTCCAATCGTGTTTTTGAATCTGTAATGCTGTAAACACGGTGAGATAGTGGCTTTCTCATGCGGCTTCCCTTGCTAAGCAGACCTACACTTCTGCAGATGGAAACTTGTCATGCACAACTCCCAAACCTTGGAGATTTGTGTTGCAGATTTACCAATTTGAGTTTGACTACGGGGTGGGGGCATTTTTCCTCTCAAGAGAGAAAGTGGGAAAATGGACGGATCTGGCGGAAGTGGAGCTTTTATTTTGCTACCAGTATGGCTGCTCCTTTGACAAAACGAACAAAATCGTGGACAATTTGTCCTTGCTACAGCTACTAAAACTCTTCCCGAAGTGGTTTCAGATCAGCGAGACAGGACAGGAATTGCGGTTACTGGAAAAACCGGCGGTATTCGTTTAATGGAGTTTTTTCTAATGGTGATCGTTTATTCCATGCGCATGTATAAATGCACCTTCCAGCATGCTAGTTTCTAGCACGATCGCAAATTATCCAAATTCTAATTGACGACTCGATTTTCAGGTCGCTCCCACGGTTCTTTCTACCGCCGCGGAACCCGAGCCGGAACTTGTTTCACCGCATGACAAACCGTCGTCACTCAAGGTCGATTTGGACCAAACTTTGGGCGACAATTCCTCCGTGCCCGACCTGTCTTCCTCCGTCAGCAGCAACAAGTTCCGCCCGCCGCCCGGTTTGGAAGCCTTGAGTGCAACATCCAGTTTGCCGAAGATCATTAACTTGGAGAACGAGAAAACTATTCTTACTGGTTCCAACGATGATGATACAACGAATTTTGTCGCTACAACTCCCCGCGCAGCTGGTCTCCGCCCGACCTCGCTTTCCCAGGGAACTTCGGGGTTCTTCGGCACTCCGCCGCCGCTATCACGCAGAAAAAAGCAGGCAGGTCACATTTGTAATGCAAAAAATCTGTATTGCATATCCCAAACAGCATGCTATGTGGCCTCCCATGACAGATTTTTCTGTGTTTTCTTATTTTTGCATTACAAATCTGACCTGCCTGCTTTTTTCTGTGGGATAGCCGCCCCCTCCGCTGCCGGAGGACGGATTTTCTTCGGATGAGGAGGAGTATCAAATGTAAAAATGTCTGGGTCTGGAAGATTGCCGGGTTTGTCATGCACATTTTGCATGACTCCTCAAGTCTGTGATGCATGCCCTAGCATCACAGATTTTTAGAGGGCTTCCTGATGCCTATTCCGCATGACAAATGCTCTTTCCGTGCTGCAAAATTCGGACTCTCTTTGCTGCTCATGCAATACAGATTTTTTTAGAATCCAAAATCAGCATGACAAGTTGGATTCTTCCAGACCCAGACATTTTTACATTTGATAACGAGGAGGAGTTGTCTGCTTCTAAGGGAACGGCATCGAATCTGAATCTGTCGAATAAGCAGACATCCCTCAATGCCGCAGCGGAACCCTTTACCATGCCACAAGCGCCACATGCTCAGGCGGGACGTGCAGCGATGTCGATGAAAGAAACCGCATCGCAGGTGGCAGCAGGGTTGAGTTCTTTACCGGATTTCCACCACCAGCACCACGTGCACCAATACAACAATCATTTTCCCGGCAGTTCCTTCGCCTGTAACATTGGCACCATGCCCGGATCCTCCTTGCTGCACTATCCGCAAACGCCCGGGCCGCCGCCCCTAGCGGGACCCCTGCCCCAATTGCCCTACTACCTCAACGCCGGTGCTGGTGCAGCTAACGCGACCACCTCCGGAGGAGATCAACAGTCCGCGGCACGAAAGCAAGAGCTACAGATGAAACCTGGTGTAGTCGTGCAGCAGCCAACATCTACCAGTACTACTTCTACCACTCACGTGCTCGTCGCCACCGATCCTTCGTTCACCGGGATGGCTTCGACCTCCGCGGCGGCTGCTGGGAATTACTCTCCGTCGCATTTACAGTACCATGGTCACGTGCATCCGGCGCCGCAAATGCAGCTCTTCGGCGGTTCCATTTTCACGTATAATAACTGCAACCAGGGTTCTTCTGTGGTGAGCAATCCGAATGTTCTTGTCGGAAATCCACCGGGGACGAGCGCGTGCGGGAATGGCACAGCCACGACTGTGCAGAACTTCTTTCAGCAAAACTCCAGCTACGTCAGCAAGAAATACTATCCGCAGTCTTTACTACCCGAACATTTGCAGCATCAACGACGGGCGAAACAGGAGGCGCGACTGACGCAGGAGGATTTCGCCATGCTGGCCGACATCGATTCGGATTCCGATTTATCCACTGCAAATATGTTGTCTTGGACTGGAAGTAGAAATAGAATACAGACGTTTGTCATGCAGGTTCATCTGCATCGCGCAGAAGCAGAACCTACCAGAAGGTACTACGGTATGCATAGCATCACAGGTTCTACCGCGAGAGCGGTGCGATGCCTGTTCTGCATATAGGGATCCGCCCTCAGTTGTGTGGCCAAATAATGCGGGAAGCTTAGGCTGCACTCCTCGCATGACAGATTTTAGCGTGACTGGCAGAAAGCATCACAAGTTTTCATCTTTGCTTTCCAGAGCCAGACAGACTTGCAACCGATACGATTGCAGCTCCGATGCGGACACCTCGGATGAGGAGAGTACTTCTACTACTTCGATGTAGTTTTAAGATTGTATGTCGGATCGTACAAACGACAACTCGCATGACATTCACAAGCAGAGTTGCATAGTTGTGCATGACAAACTTGAATAATACCAAGATGCCGCCCTGGCGCTCTGTGAGCTGCGGCACCGGGCCACGGTCAACTGCGACTCGTTTTTGAAGCTGTTTCAGAACCACTGCTATGAATAGCAAACATGTCTCGGTCTGGAAAGAACTGTTGATGCTCGATTGGGGATTTGATTGCAGCAGGTTGTCTGAGTGCAGCGAAGCATGGTAAGTTTTTGAGACCTCATCCTGACCCTGAGTGCGCATGACAAACTGCGTTTTTGCATGACAAAAAGAAGCTGCTGTGCCGTTGCTGGTGATTGTCATGTAGTGCAGATTGTAGAGAAATAGAAAAGCATGAGCAGCAATACAAGTTGCGTTTTCATCCCAGACCGTTAAACGTGTTTGCAATGCATAACCCCGACCTGAATGTTTTGAGCTACAAGAAGGAGGGGTTGATCCAGCATGCGACGAAGTGGAAAGTGGAGGAAAAAGTGACGGTTTATATGCAAGAAAAAAACTGTGTAGGTGAAAGTCTGTGATGCAGAAAATGCAAAACAGTTACACTTGTCATACTGGACATGCATCAGAGGCTTTTTCCGTACGTGTTTTCACGTACTAGCCGGGCATGACAGGCTCTCTCTGTCATGCAGAGCAAACTTGTGATGCTCTTCCTCCAAGAACGTTACACTAACACAATTTTTTCCTCTGATAGTTTACATCCCAGAACTACCGGCGGAAGGATATGGCGCTCTCAAACGTTACATCCTCAGCTGTCACATGAATTTGTTATGCAAAACTACCATCAAGATCCACACGAGCAAGCCGCTTCGCATGACAAATTTGCGAAGGGCTAAACAGCGCCGAAATCTGTGCGGAATTTGTAATGCTAGAGGTGCAACCTTCCCCTTGGACTTTTGCTATTCTTGCATTGCAAATTCGTGTAACAGATGAGAATGTAACGTTTGAGAATGCCATAAAGGAACCCGCTCCTACATCTGCTTGCCGATACTCTGTATACAACTTGTTTGTTCATCTCTGAAGATCATCTACTTTTCGCTGACCACGTTAAGGAGGAGTATTGCTGGGTGTCTTGCGGGCGCGCATGAGAAAGAAGACCTTTGATTAGATGATATGCACGACAAATAAGACGAAACACTTTGAGTGAGGTAACAAATTCCTCCGTTAAGTTACCGGGTAACTTAGCGTCCGGCCGGCCGCCGGACGCTAAGTTACCCGGTTCCCGGGATCCGGGATCCGGAGAACGGAGCGGTCCGATCCGCTGGAACGGGCTGGCGGTTGGGAACCGGGTAACTTAACGGAGGAATTTGTTACCTCACAATTTAATATCAGATGAAACCGTCGCCCGAGGAAAGTTGGAAAAGGTGATCATGCAGAAGACGCGATGCGGCATACAGTCAGTCAATATCGAAAAAAATTGTGTCTAGTGCAGCAAATGGTAATGAAAAATCGCTCTACTTGCAGAAATAGCGCCATGTAGCGTGAAAAGTTGGAGCCGAGTGCATGTACTCGCACCGCAGGTCAAGTTTCCCAGCGCTAGACAGAGGAATCGTTCTTCTTTTTTCCTGTGTATTCGTATTGGAAAAAGGAGGACACTTTATCTGTCGACGTACACTGACACATTTTTCGCTGCCATACTGGAGCACGACGAGAACGGGATCTATGTGGAGATTGAACTGTGCAAGAATCAGCACGAGGCCTGGGTTTCCTTGCAGCTACACATCACCTTTGCCCCACCGGAAAGCAGCGCAGCGTACATGTGAGTAAGCACAGACCCGGCTTTGTTTTCCAACGGCACGTGAAAAACAAAAGGAAAAAGCTACAAGTTTTGGGACTAATTTTTCAAAAACGTCAACGTGAGAACATCGGACACACGTGCCAGGATTTGGAAGTGATAGTAACCAATGAGATCGCTTTGAAGCGATATATTGTATTCTTGAATCGTCTAACTCCAGCTAGCATCCTGAGCAGGTCGTGTGAGTAGCGGTACTAACTCTGAATGTCACTAGTATACTTGCCTCTGTCGTGAACGGCTGCGAAATGAAACTGTAATGAAAGACCAACAGGTAGAGGTCCGCTCTATGTTTGCCTCCGAAGATGAAATGCAAGAAGAAACAAGAAATAGAATACACAAGGACTACTGGACGGCCGCGTAATATTGTGTCGATAATTCTTGCTACCAAGGACAAAATCTTCTAGCGAAACTGCGGAGTCCTACACCGACTCTGCTGTTGATGTATGCGTAGCAACCTTCCCGCTTGCGACTTATCAATTTCAACTCCAGCAGAGCCGGTAACAATTAAATCAACAAGGCCACGTCGATTTTATTGAGAATTCGAGGGTTTCCCACTTTTCTCATCACAATTTTGAGAATACATCAACCCGTAGCCGCAGCAACCAAGAATGTCTGTATCGTTCGCGGAGAAAAAGTTGGTGTGCTGGCCGTACTACTTCTATTTGATTTTGCCGCTAGGTAGCATTAGTAGCCGATATAGCTATAGGTTATTTTCTCTGACCGATAAGTGTGATGAGTCCTCTTGTCTTTCTGGAAGAAACAAAAAAGCAAGAGCGAGAGCAACGGAAAGAGTGGTGCACAATCTCTCTGCACGCCTTTTAGTTTTGACCTGACCGAATACCGAACTTCGTCTGTGTTCCGTCTAGGTGCTTGAAGCCATGCAATAGTCGTTGTCGGATTCGTAATTTTCGCCGTCGGTGGTTTAGTCGTGCAATGCCTATCGTCGTTCGTGGATTTATTACGAAGAAAAATGCATCTTCGTGTTGTCGTCCTTTTCGTTTTCCATTTCGTGCAAGATGGTTGTTCAGTCTTCGGTGTACTTCGTCAAACCTTCGGCAGCGGTCTAGCTGGTTGGAAGCGAGAGTGAAACACTTGGTGCGTCTACATCAAGTACTCGTTTTTCTTTTTCTCAGTTCTTTCAGGCAGACGTTCAACCCGAATTGACTGAAAACTGAAGGCAAAGACGAGGTTCTTTTTGTCCTAACACATTCCCCCCCGAGGAATATATAAGAAATCACCGCACAAATAATTTTCCCAAAAGCAACCATCATTCCCAAAAGTGCCTCCAATCAAATCGAAAACGAGCCGGAAACTTGCAATTTGGGTGCACCCACCAGCACCTGAGCTTGCATTTGACAACATTGCACACTTGCAACTCCTCGACCATTATACGTGGTAACCCAACATCTTGCTTGATCGCGGTTCTTGATAAGAAAAATGGTGGAAGAAAACCAAAACCGACGCTCTTCGCAGATGCAGGGCCGTGTCGCGCGGGTGGGTTGCTGGGCCAGGGTCTTGGGCCGTGGAGGAGGTTTTTCCTGCCTGATGCTGCCGCAGCTATTCGGGGGCAATCTCTGCATGCGCGACATGTCTTTTTTCGTGTCAGCTGAGCGCCGCGGGTTCATGGACAAAACGCCCAAGCCGCCGCTATCCAATAAAAATCTTGATGTTGGGGCAGAAGTGATGGAGTTTCATCTCTTGTGAAGACGAGTACAGAGACAGAGTAGCTCTGCATACACAAGAATAAAAAGGCCAAACACGCTGCTTTAAGCTGCAGCGTGGGCTGCTTAGTACTAAATTTATGCAATGTAGTTCCGCATCGTTTTGCTTCGGTTCTTCTCCTTTCGGTACACTAAACTACAACCGAATCCGACGGTGTCACTGATTTCCATCTCACGCACACTGCAAATGGTAAAACTGTTGCTGTTCTTCTGCAGACTCCAACTGAACTGTTTTTACACCTTTCACGAGGACAGCTAACTTCATTCGCTCCACCACGACAAAGTAGATTTTTCCTTTCCATACCCTCCAGGCAAGGAGTATGACCGCGGCGGTGGGATTGCACTACAGCGGGCTATCATTGAGTGGGACAACTACATCTTCGACACGGGAGTAAGCATGCTGCAGAATGTGTACTACTCCGCCAAAGACGTTGCCGTTGGGGCTTTGATGCCTGGATCTTCTGCAAATCAAGACGACGAAGCGGCGGGTGCTGCAACTTCAAAGTTGGCGCGCAAGCACCCGGAGAAGCGGAAGAAGTGGGCTGCGGTGACCCGGGTTGGGAACACCGATGGTGATGACAGCAAGAGCAACCCGGCGGACATGATCCCGCAAGACGCCGAGTTTTTGAATGAAGAGGGGACGACGAATGAAGCGGGTCGTGATTCGAAACCGCGGAACTCTGACGACTCTACGTCAAGCCTTCAGAGGCATCTTCACTCAGCGTCCAGCTCCGCGCTGGAGAAGAAAAGCAAGGAGTTCTTGGCGGAGGAACAACAAGGTGCGAACGATGCTCGCGTCCGTGACAACGCTGATTCTGCTGGGCAAAATAATGCTGGGAAAAATGACGAACCTGAGTCCAAAGACCATGATTACGATTCTTCGTGGGCTGGCAAAGTGTCGAGTTTCTTCCAAGCGGCCAGCGACGCGGTAATTGGAAGCTTTTTCCAGGTGGGAACCGCGAAAACTACTGCGGAAAGTAGCGGCGACAAAAATCTTCACCAGAGCAAGGAGCGAGATCAGCAGCTGCTCCCGCAGCAGTCCTTTCTCGAAGAAACACTGCCACCCACGAACAACATTGGCGTAATATCGACGCCGGCTCCGCAGTTTTCTCCGATTGGTTCGCCTTTGTTGGTGCCCGCAGGAGAAGGCACAACACCGTGGGAACCTGCCTCTCCGGAGACTGCTTCGGGGGGGTTTCTCGAGCAGGTTTCGAGCGTGTTGCAGGCGGGGACTGATGCGGTTGGAAGTTTGTTTCAGAGAACCAGTGCGGTAGTGGGGCTTTCACCGGGTGATCATCAGCATGCACAGGTGGAGCAGGAGGCCGAGCTCTCTGTGAAGACGACCAGCACGACAGAAACGTCGCCTCATCCGCCGGCGCCGCGTGCGGAGGGTTGTCCGTCAGACGATCAAACTGTGGCATCAAGTGTATCGCACAGAAAAAAGCTAGCACTTCTCAACAGTGGTAAAAACGCATGATGCGTAATATCGAAATGCAGTTGCAATTGCACGCGAAAGACAATAAATACAATAGTTCAAAAAGATTGTGTTTGTGACGCGCACGGCCGTCGCATGACACTCTGCAAGACTGGTTTTTGTTCAGCACGGCTTGTCTCTTTTCTACTGAAGTTGAGATGCTAGTAGTTATATTCTGTACGATAAAACCAAAACGAAGCCGTGTTGACGACAGCCACAACGGAAACGTCGCCGCACCCGCCGGCACCACCTGCGGGAAGTTTCACAGAGCTGCGAAAGGACCGCGCGAAACCAAGTTTGGATCCCAGTAAGAACGAGAATGCCAACGCGGACCAGGAGCTACGGACGTACAAACGCCACATGGGTGCTGCTATCGAGAAGGTGAAGGGGATGGATCGAGCGCGGCGCAAACTGCAACGAAAATTGGAGTACCCAGAACTACGTGAGTTTGTCCAGTTGCGGGAAAGCAGGGCGAATAAAGAACAAGAAGCAGAGCGTGCAAATAAAGCAGGCTCTGAGACGAGCGGAGAGCGAGGACCAAGTGATCATGCAGAACCAGCAGCAGCGGGAAACGCAAATCTGACTCGTCTTCAGGTGGAGATGTGCAAACTCGGGCCCAGCGTTGCCGGGCTGGTTCCCATCGAGCATTTTTTTGTCACGTTTTACAAAGAAAATTCACCGGTTGATGTTGGTGCCCAAGCCGCCAAGGGCCATACCCGTATCGTGGTTGCGGAGTATGAGGGAAGCGGTTTGGATATCGCCACCCTGGACCAGCTTGACCACGAGCAGGCGGATTCGAGTATTTCCATCTACCAGGGCAAAAGGCGGAAGTACAGCAGCATCAACAATCCGGGGTTCTTTGGCATTGAAACGTGGACGGACGACTTGGACGCCTATAAGGAAAAACCTGAAGAGAAGAAGAAAAAGGCAAAGTCCCTTATTTGTTTGGGCATGGTCCCTGACAGCACCCCCCAAGCCGCATTGATACAACGACAAGGTCTGGGTGATGAAATTCCTTATGATGTGGGCACCTCGGGTCCGAAACAAAACGAGTTCAGGTTATACTCATTCGATGATCCTGTTGAGATTAAGGACCTGGTTGGGCTTGTGGGTCAGACGATGGGGTATGGGTGGAATGAAGATTACTCACTCAAGGGATCGCAACTGTCAACACTTTGTAAATGCGATTGTGAATCTTTTTTCTCCGCGACGGTACAACATATCTGTGCAGACACGAGCCCTGTCAAACACGGTACTAAATATCGTAGTGCCAGATCATGTGGTACCTGCGGAAAGGGTAGACACTGACGGATTGAGAAACCAGCTGAAAAAGAATTTGCTCCATCTGCTGGAGACTCTCCGTGATACAGTTACAGTTCAGGAAAAACATTCGCAAGGTGGGAGTACCAGTGGAATGCCTGCAAAAAGCAAAGTTCCACTGCACAAGCTTTGGAAGGACGAAGAAATGCGCAAGTTTGATCAGCTGCTTGAAGAAAATAAGCTCTCATATGAAAAAGGGGAGAAGATGGAACACGAACGAGAAGCGATCTCCGTAGTGGCTGATCCGCAGTTGATGACTCTGTTCGGTAAAATAGTCACAGAATCAGAAAAGTCACTCCTTGCGCAGGAACACACAGAAGCATCAGACCACGCTCCAGTCGACGAGGACAAGAAGAAGCTGGGTGTTTATGCTCACGCGATGGACACAATCTGTCGGGCTTCAAGTGACATGGTGCGGGATCGTTTGAAATTCGCACCAGATCCGAGCGCAATAAAAGTGCAGCGCCGCTATGCGTGCGAACTTTCCCGGGCTATGCGGACGGCAATTGAATCGGACACGGCCGAAAGCAGATTGGAAAGATTTGCCGCTGATGACAAAGCAAGGGAGAAAACTGCGACACTTGACAGAACATGGACTCCGTGGCTCCTCGATCCTTTCCCTTCGTCTCCTCGATCCTATGACAGCTGGACCCCTTCCCCTTCGTCGGACGGGAGCGCATCAAAAAAATGCAGCCGCAGATGGATGTCAGAAGTAGATTACTATTATTTTTTTGATTTTTTGTCCTATTTAATAGGAGAAAAAGGAGACGGGCGTGAGCGCTATTTCCTGTGGGAGCGCTGCGAAGTGCGGAAGTGGTACATCGTCAGCGGATATGGATACAAGTGGCTGGCCTAAGTGAAAATGACGGATGTATTTTGATCAATACAATTCTATTGTTCGGGCACTTGTTCAGCTACTGACTCAGTTTTCACTTACCGCGTGATTTCACTAGTAGTGCTGGGAGGAGCCGAATCATCCTGCGTGATTCTAGTATTGTTTGTTCTGGTATTCGTTTCCGTGCTTCACATTGATTGTGCTGATGTGGTGTTGATTGTTTTTTGTCGAGAGGACTACATTTTATTTGAAGCTGTTATTTAAGGAAGACAGGCGATCTTCATCTTCTACGGAAAGGTCGCCGTCTTGTCCTAAATTAGATTTGGAAATGTAACGTCGGATTCGCGCACACGCACCTTCTGTTGCTTTGATTGTTCGTGTGCCTTCGTTTTGCAAGAGCAAGTAGCAGATAAATTCATTGGTGTTGAAGAACATGCAAGATATTCTTCAGCTTTTGCGAAGATGGCTTTTTCTGTAGTTCTGTTTCTTCCATCAAGGCGAACGTTCAAATTGCAGTTTCAGTGAATCTTCGGTCTGGTCAATGCGCGTCTAGTACATCGCGAGGCGATGGTGGTCGTTCTCGTCCATTATCGTACATCTTGATCTTGGTTCATGTCTTCGTTCATGTCTTCGTTCATGTCGTCGTTTATGTCTTCGTTCATCGTCGCAAATGCAGGAACAGTCGATACATCTTTAATTCAAAACTTGTACTGGATTTCTTCCTGGACACAAGTATCTATTCTTGGATCCAATTTGTTTTAATATGATCTGATGTCGGACGAGTCGCTCACGCTCGACCTCCGACCGTGTGTTGCTTTGCACCCCTAGTGTCTTACCGACAAAAGAGCCAACAGGCATGTAGCCGCTAAGACCCCGTCAATTAGTACCCGTTGTGGGAAATCTAATTAGATCTTCTACCGCTACTAGAAGGGTGACTGTGTTTATTGAACTTGAGTCTCGTGTAGTTGTGGAGCGCGAATGCCCCTAGCCGCAATTTACGTCAGAAAACGTCTCCGAGGTGCAAAATGGCAGCAAAGTTATCTCCGGGGATAATTGCAATTCTGTCTTCGCTGGAGCTGGGGTCCTACCACACCAACAACAATTCGTATAGCCCAGCCCCAGCACGCCCCTGTACGACAACGATTCTTGTGCAGGCCCTAAAAGCGGTCCGCCGGCAAACCAGGAGGACGCACAGCAAGAACCTCTCGCAAACTGGACGGAGCAGGCAACATGACACTACTTCTCAGGCGGTACAAAATAAATCCAAGACCATTCTGGACACACGACCAGCACATTTTTCCCTGCTGGCTCGTAGCTCGCGCGAGGACAGCACTAGGAGTACACGAGGTGTTGAAGGGAACCACGACGAGCAACCGCTGTTACGGCGAGCGCGTAACCCGCCAGCACATGAAGATGCAACCGAAACCGTCTTGGGCAGAAACGAAATAGCAAACGACCTCAAGCCCACCTCCTTCTGTGCGGGCGGATCGTGCGAGGGCGGGATAATTGCGCCAGAAAAGCCCAAACAGCTCCATACCTACGACGAGGCGCGGGGTTTGCTGTTAGACGGAGCAACAGGAAGGATCATCGGAAAGAAGAGAGAGGGGAGCAATCAGATCGTCGATGTGGTGAACAAGAACTCCATGGTCGTCATAGGCACGATTGACCCAGCATCCGGGAATATAATCAGCGCTGCTACTGGCGAGGTAATCGGGTCTAGAACCGGAACAATAGAAACACTAGACAGCGCAGCGGTTTCTGTAGCTTCACGGAACGCTGGTGATGGGTTTCCGACCACAGGAAACGGAGCTGTACAGCCTCAGACACGTGCAGCCGGTGATAACAAGCGAAACGACCAAAATCTGCAACAGAGCGCAGAGAAGACGACGAAACTTTCCCAACCACTTACTACCACGACCACCAAACTGCCGTTAGTTTTGCCAGAAAGCGAGATGGGGTACGGCGCTACAGCGTATTCTTGGCTTCTAGGCCCGAACCCGACGGGACGCTCTGTTGTGCACCCAAGTGTGGATAGGAGATATCCAATCATGCGGGAAGACACGCTCTCCCTGCACGCTTGCCCCCTGGACGTGTGCGTCTTTTTCCGAGTAGTAGGGACTTCAATTACGCCTAGTACCCCAGAGGCGAGCTTGAACAAGATGTCTACTGCTCAGGAAATAAAGAATTTAGCTGCAGCAGGACCATTCGGCTGGCTCGGGGCGGATCGCGAGCGGCAGCAAATGGAAGTGCTAGATGCGGCCAGCGATTTGGGCGATAAGACTGTGCAGGCAAAGGGATGTTGGTATTTGTCGAAGCGAGTAGAGGTGGGGAAGAGTAATAAAGATTCTCAACCTGCTGGAAAACAAGACGATCCTGATGTTGCTATTGATCCAGCAAGAGCTGCTGCTGCGATCGATCCAGCAAGACAGAATCGTGATCCAGCAACACAACGTGTTCTACAAGCCGACGAGTACTTTATCAAGCACTGGGACAGTGGGGCGTTTTTGGATTTTGCCGGTATAGAAGAAACACCACCAGCAACTGTAAATAGCGGCGGCGGAGAACAAGAAGTTTCATTAGCTGCTGCGGCTGTACAACGAGTTCCTGACTTCACCTTCCCAGACAGTCTCTCCGCGGGCTCCTTCACCTTTGTTCGACCGGACGGGAGGAGCGATTCAGGCAATACAGCCGGTACAGCACCAGCTATTACAAGTACAACATTGAAAGTCCGGCCAATCAACTTGCGTAAGGATGGGGCCGCTGGCAGCAATTACAGTATCCGCGACCGATTCGGAAATGCCGCTTGCTACCCGAGAGTGGAAACTTGGTCGATGACGAGTTCTTTATTGAGCACGACAAATAACTATGACATAACGGACGACCAGGTCCAGGAGCAACAGGAAGCAATAGCAAACGGGAATAATAGAAACGAAAACCCAAGCGCAAACCCCGCCGCAGCTTTAGCCCAGCAAATAGTCAACATGTACGCGCAGTTCAAGGGCGTTAGCTGCTTAGCCGGCGTCCCGTTTTACCTGATGTCCCACCGGTCGCACGCGTTGATAGTCGACAAAGATGCCATGGGAGGGGAGGTCAATGAAGTCGCCCTTGACCCGAAGAAGCATCGGAAACCGGCGAAGGGGAAGTTTGTTTTCCTAAACGCCGGGCCGGACCTGGCTGGAGGGGACGACTCCGTTCAAAAAATGAAGAATCAAAATGCGAATCGGTACAGCCTGAAAGCCGTTGTCGCCGACGCGTACCTTCAGATCAAGAAAAACGACCTGAAACAAGTTCACTGGTCCGGCAGTGAAGAGGAAAATGAGAAAATTTACGGCTCTCCCGGTCTCTTCCATCCCCCCGACACTTTTTACCCGGACGGCCTCACCTGGGAGATTGTTGGCCGCGGCGCGCGGGGAATGGCTAGTAAGGTCTGTATCAAAGCGACGTTTGCGAATGATTTTCACGGCGAAGGCGGGGGGAAAAAGGCCGTGTATCTACAAGATTTCGTGCACGGGGGGGACAACGAAGGGCCGCGGAATAATTGGCACACATCGGACGCTTTCGTCAACTACTGTGGCAGTTGGGAGGAATGGAGCTTAGTGCCGGTTGAAGACGATGATGGCAACATCAAGGACGGCACAGAGGGTACCAGTACAGGGAACAACAGGAAGATCTGTCAGGAACTGGAGTTAACCACGACGACTACAACAACCACGACCACGACGGTTTTCTCTGGGACTGCCGTGCCGCAGGAAACTGGGAGTGTAGCAGTTGTAGTTGCAGCTGGTCGTGCCAATAGTAGCAATTCTAGCATTATGTCATGGTCCACATCTGACCGCGTCGACCTCGAAACAACTGGTAGGAACCCTGGAAGAACATCTAATTCATCATCTTCAGCTCAGTCTATCGCCTCCAGCTCTGATAGAGTAATTGGCGACCTGCAACGAGGCAGGAGTGATCGTACCGTGGGGGTGGAATCGTCTTCGCAACAAGGAGAAGTTTCAGACACAGGAAACGCCAACACGACAGTAAAAGCACGACTCGTGCCCCCTTGCAAGGAACTCGTCAACGGTACGGTACGAAACGGAAAGAACTTGAATACCACTACAAACGCGTGCCACTACAACTCGACGAACAAAACAGATCCACCACAGCAAGAAACCCGAGGCGACCGGCAAAAAGCCACCCTGTTCGGCCTCCCTCTCCCTTTCCCCATTGTCGTGCTGGTGATTATCTTTATCGGACTCTGCTGCGCTTTTTTCACGATCACCTGCTGGCTTTGCGGGAGCTCCAGTTGTTGCTCTTGGGGAAAGAAAAAAGCCGAAGAAGAAGCACTGGATGCGATCCTAGCTCCTTTGGAAAAGAAGTACAATAACCGGAGGAGCCAGAGTGGCCGGGATTTGTCAGCAAAGAGCAAGAAGCCAAAAAGAAAAAAAACCCTACCGCCTGGCGGCGCAGGTCTAGCAGGAGGGGATCAACATCCTCGTACTATCGGCGGTACTGGCACTGCATCTGATACTTCTAACACAGCTGGCGGCGGTGCGAGTGACAGATCGTCCAAAAGTAGTACGTTGGCCGCGTCCGATAGACCGCCGTCGACTTTCATTGGGGCGAGGACACCATCACCGGCTCTTGACTCCGAACAAATTTTTGGACAAACTGCAACACTTCCAGGAACAACGACAACAGCGAAGACGAAAAAGAAAAAAAGCACTAGCAAAGAATCTACTTCTACGCCGTCCGTGGCCATTGTAAGTTTCGGAGACCAAAGTAATAAAACTTCATCAACAGCTGGAAATGGAGATGTTGGAAGCAAGTCGATAATAATCGGCGGGACCGTGTCTTCTAATAACTCCAACGATCAGATGAAGTTTTACCCGTCGCAAGTAGCAGTCAATAATTCTGCCGAGACCAGTGGAAGTAGTGCGACGATAGTTACGAAGGCGTGCAACGAGAGCCATAGCGGAACTACAAGTGGGGGCAGTATTAAAAACGCCAACGATAAGGGAAGCAAAGAGCTGCAAGAACACCATCTCCAAAGCAGTTCGCTTTCTTCTGCAAGTTTCGATTACACGGAACAGCAGAAGCTTGCGATGCTCCAGGCCAACCAAATGCCAGGCTTAGCGGGAATCAGTAATGAGCTCGTGGAGTCCGCAAAATTTGGAGCAGAAGATGCAGATCATGTTGATCATATAATTAGCGGTTCCCAGGTAGAAGAACAAGTGCGGACATCTACTTCCAGAGGGAGTTTGTTGTCTGGAGAACGTCGTGTAGGTGCAAATGTGCCGGACTTCGCTAGACAAGAAAAAGAAGAAGTTGTAGTAGTAGACCAGAAAAAGGAGGAGAAACTCAACATTGCAAGCTTCGGGGGCTCGGGGGACGCGAGTCGGGAGGAACATTTCTAGCTGGTGTTAAAACGTCCCCGCATTCGGGATTTCCACTCCATTTTCAGATCGTAATATCAGTCCCATAATAAATTCCAAAACATGAAGATGAAGCGAATTCGATCCAATCCCGTACTACTGTACACGTACAGGAAGTGTGCTAAATAAAAAGGCCAGGCTCATCGATCCGAATATAGCTGGATGAATTGCGGAAAGAGTGCCAGCGTATTCGCCTTCGATTTTAGGATTGCACTTTCTGGCGACGTCGGCGAGTTGATGCTTAGCACGTGTTCGGCCGCATAAGTTCATCTTTCCAGTGATCTGAAGAAGTAGTAATAGATCCTTCTTGATGTCGTGTGTCTCTTTCAAATACCGAAACAACAAGCAAAAAGATTTTCCGGGTCCTGATCCTTTTCTTTTCATGTGGGTCTTTGAAGCTTTGGAACCAGCATTCGGTAGTGAGATGATCCGATCAAGAGGGAAGCACTTTACGTTTATTTGTATGTTAATCAATGATCCAGCTTCACCTCCTGCGCTTTGACGATCCAGATCATTTATTCATCTTCAGAAAGATTGAGAATGACATCTGTTGGTCGTGTGCTGGTAACGTCGAAAAAACAAAGTGCCACTCCCGTATTCGCAACATCCCGACCGCTAAAGAGTGTACAGCCCGTGTTGTTGGGCCTCTTTCCACCGAGGTGCAAGAAGAATTTTGATTCGCTTGAATTCTTTCTATGCACGAACTTCGAGTATTTTCTCGATACTCCTTGTCGATTCGACACTCCATGCCGATGAATTTTCGAACCCAAAATTGTAGGAACGAAGTGTGAAGATGCTGAGCGCTGACTTTTCGACAAGAGTTTGAATAGAGCAGCAATATCACCTCGAAAATTTCGAATGTGTGACTTGTATGAACCTTTGATATGTCATCCGTTCGTTGTAATCGTTATCGTGTTGATTCGTAATTTGATACTCGGAATTTTCTAATATACCAATCTTTGTAAGTATAACTTGTAAAGGTATTGAAGCGGTACTCACATGGATTCACGATATACGAAAACTCTATAAAGACGACTTTTCCGCTGAAAACAAGATCGCAAAATGATACTTAACAATGTCCGCTCTTGTATGATTTTGAACTATATGATTGTTTCGCGACAGTATTTCGTTCCGGTTTGACTTTGACTTTTATGGAGCGAGAACCGCACGAAGTGACAGGAACTTCATCTTCCGCTCTGTGCTGGTTGCTTTTATTCCAACTGTGAACGAGAAGAAACCAACCGTGTATTCTTGTTCGACGCGCAGGAGTAGAACTACTTGGTTCACGCCACAACCACCTAACCGCCTTCCTGTACAACTGCCAGCCTGTCGCAGCAGGAGCCAAGTTCGTCTTCACACGACCAACGACCTCAAAGATAATGTCCACGACTTCTTGTCCCGCCGCTGGTTTAGAAGTGCAACCAAGCGGTTCTTCTAGTTCTGCGGCGCGGAAAACCAAAACAACATCATCATCTCCACAACCACTCTCCGTCCTCATGTTGTCATTCTTCCTTTCTTCCAACATCTTCTGCTCTCTCATAAACCCAGCGGACGCCGGGCTGTCCATCACGAAGAGGGCCGCTTCGGCCGGGAAAACGTCGCTCTTCCCCGAGCAGGCGATGCAGCAAAACCGGGACAGTGGGAATGATTATCATCACAATTACATCGAACGGCACCTGCTGAGCCCTTTGCGGCAGGAAATCTACGTGGATAGGAAGAATTTAGTGCGGGTCTTAAGGGAGGAGAAAGAGAATGATAGTGCCAACCCAGCGGAATCTGCACTTCTGCCAAGTAAAAGCGGGAATAATTATACGAATACCAGTCGAGGAGAACTTTCTCTACATCATGATCTCTCGCCAGAACAACTACTACAACAATCAGGTTTCAAATACAACAAGCTGACTGCAGAAAACATCCGGGACAGCTACAGTGTCATCCCCCGGTCATTCTTTCCCAACCACCACTTCTTCCGAGATTTGGATTATCGGAGGAGAGGGCTGGATGATGATGATGATGATAGTGATGATGAACCACACCGCAAAAAGAAGAACTCCATTTTACAAACGCGATTAAAAAAACTTCGTCGTTTCCGTCGGCAGTTCCGTGACCCCAGGATGAACAAACCACCGACAGAAAAGACTGTCTTCGACGATTTCTGGAGTGTTTTGTTTCCGGAGGATAGTGGGACAGATCAAGAAACTCAAGAAACCATTACAACTTTCTCGTCCGATCAATCAGCAGCATCAGCATCTTCATCTGGTACAACCAAGAAAACCCAGTCGAAAACACGAACAAAGCGCTCTCCAACCTCCCGTGAGAAGTGGGAGTTAGAAGAGGAGCAGCACGAGGAGTATTTTTTCACCATTGACGCCACCAACGCTTTAACCACCGCGGCGTTTTCCTACGATTTCCAAACCCTGGACCGGATGAGCAGACGGGGCAACTCCGAGATTTTGCACTCCGAGGCAAGGAGACAGGGAAATCCGGCGAAGCTGCTGGCACCGCTGGGGGGACACCGGGAGTACTATGGGTTGCGAGACGTGAGTACTATGGGCCCGATTGTGACGACGAATGTGATTCCGCCGTTGGACTTGGAGCTGCAGGGGAATACAATTACAAACGGAAAGTCAAGAACTTCTTCTACATCAACTATTAAGGCATCAACATCATCTTCATCCCGCAGAACGTCTTCTCGTCCCCCGACTCCAAAATACGTCCGGCGGTCGGTTGGTTCTTTCGTTTTCGGAAAAAGCTTTCCGGAGGGCGTTTTCACAGGGGAGTCGCTGCTAGAGCAACTGCGCGTATTTCAAGAGAGTGCAAGGAATTCCGGACAGTCTCGTGGTTCTACTTCTTCTTCCACAAGCAGCACAGCAGAACATTATCAAGCCTCTCCGTTCACGCCCAAGATGATGCCCCTGCACATCGAGCCTTTGTTCGACCGGAAGACGCTGTACCGGGGCGGATTGCTTCTCGACTCGGCACAGTGGAAGATCGTTCCGGGGGAGAAATTTGCGGATAAGAGGTTCAAGGAACTCGTGAAAATTGCAACGAAGTACGGATTGCAGTCGACGAAGGTGTTTGAACAAGGGAACAACAATGAGATGAGCTCCGAGCAGCAGCATGGGTGCAACAGTATCTCCTCTTGCAGTTCCAGAAATACAAGTTCATCGTCTATGACTGCCGGTGCAGCAGCGGTAGGAAACAAATCGACAAGAATGTTCGCCCCGGACGCGGTCGACCGGGTCACTGCGCTGCTTAAGGGGAAGGAGGAAGGGGACGGAACGGGTCTTATCTTGGATAGCAATGCTGGCTGGACCAAGCAAATGAAAAAAGCTCTGGACACCCCGGAAGACTACGTGGAGGAAGGACTGCTTCGTAACTTCCTCGCACCTGCTCCGCCTACGAAAGCAAATGGAAGAGCCGAAAGTTCTGATGCGAACAAGTCTACTACTTTTTCGAAGCAAGGATCCATCGGTACAACTGCGCGAGATGTTGAACAGGACAACGCTCCTGCAGGAAGCACTAACAAATACCAGCCGCAATCCGCCGGCGCTGTCGTACTAGAAAAAATTTCCGACCTCGCGTTAGAGTTGCGAAACGCCTTGCTCTCGAAGGTGAAAACGAATGCGACGGCGGATGCAGTTGCGGACGACGTCGAGGGGAAAGACACTGCTAGTGGTCTTACGCAAAAGGAAATAAAGCAGAACAAGAACGCCACGACAACCAGCGAAACTGACGCTACGTCCAACCTGCCGACAGCCGCAAACTTTTTCGAACCAAGGAGAATGCGGACCCGGAAGTGGAATGAGAAAAGGGCGAAGCGGGAACTGTCGAAGACCACGGGTGTAGCGGTATCGTCCCAAATGTCATGCAGCACCAGCAATACAAATTCCAATCCGGCAAGCAAACACAAGCAGCCGTCTTGGGAGACTCGCGACTTCCCGTCTTTCTTGTTGCAAAAGGAGATCCAGGAGCTGTTGCCGAGATTGAGCACTCTGCAGATGCGAAAGGAGGTTTTTAGCAGTGGAAGTGCTACTTCTGCCGCTCAGCACGAGAACAACTTCTACAAAACGGAAACCGGGACGAGCAGCACACCACCGCACTTCTTCCAACAAGTTTCCTACTCGCTCGAGTTCCGCACCCCGGTCTTGCTCCAGTCTCTGATCGTCTCGGGAAACAGCAAACATTTTCAATCCGCCATCGCCTACCTCGATGGCGAGGCGCAGTTTGTGATCCCGTTCCGGCTGATTCTGGATGGAGCAGATGGAAAAACTGAAAAGAATCTCTACGACCTTTCCGAATCCACGACCAGTTGGCACGCGATCGACGAGCTCAGGTTTGTGAATGCATATCGCGAGAAAAAAGTGTTACAGTTACACACTCTGATGGGAGACAAGCAAGACAGACAACTTCTGTCATGCAGGAAATGCATGCCAGCCTCATTTCATTCGTGTTTTCCCTTATGGTCTGCGCATCACAGGTTTTCTTAGCCATGTCGAGCAACTTTGTGATGCAGAAACTCCAACAAATGTGTAATTGTAACACTTTTTTCCTGTGATAATGCAGATGGAATCATGAATACGGCAAGTGGTGAAAATGATGCTAGCAAAAATTCCTCGCCGTTGAAAATCCACTACATCGAGGTGGAGCCCGCCGTGGGGTATGAAAGTGCACAACTCCCTTTCCCCCTCATTTGTGATGCAAAGTGCCAACGCCACCCTTTGCCTTTTGCCACGACTATGCATGACAGATTTTGAGAGCCGAAACAGCAACAGAATCGGTCGCCAATTTTTTGTCATGTAGAGCCTGCATCCTTGCCAGAGCTTGTGTTGCTGGGACTGCCATTCAAATGAGGCGGGGGGGGAGTTGTGCAGCACTCTCATATGGGGTTCGGCGAGCTCAAAACCGGTTCGCAATCGTTTTTGCTGTTCCGGGATTTGCTGCAAAGGAAGTGGGTGGAGGACTGTCAGGCGATAGTGACTTCTACGCCGGAGAATGAAGTCTCCAGTACCAAGAAAACTGATCCAAAATCTTCCAACCTCATTTCGAGCAAGAAACACGAGAACAAAACCAACACTCCACTTCTGAAGAAACGCAACAGAAACGACGACTCCACCTCTGAAGACTCGGAAGATCTGGACCGCTTGGATTCGGACGACAGCACGGATAGCATTTCCTCTACTTCCGCAGAGAGCGACGAGGATGCCGAAGCTGTTTTGAAAAGCCGCATGAAAAAAATGAAACCAAAGAACAGGAAAAAGAAGCACAAAAACCACACTGGTGCGTCATCAAAAGGAGATCGCTCTACTAGCACAACTGCGGACCCAAATACTGAATCAGCTGGTTCACCGCAAACTAACAAGCCGAAACTCGAAGTCCCACCCCTTCGCTCCATTTTCCACCTGTTCCACCGCATGTCGGCGCTGGCGAAAATCGCGACTTCCGAGCACAAAACGACTTTCGACAACCTCCAATTTCGCTTTCAGATAAAAGATTCAACGACAAAAGAAAACAACCAGCACGAAGTAGACAGCACACAGCAACAGCACACGGAACTCATCCCCTTCTACAACGAGTACGACATTGCGAACTCTTTAAACAACAAAAACCAGTTTGTCGAGCTGATGATCCTGACCCCGAACGGCGCGATTGACGCGCAACGGGTGGACAAGCAGGCGAAAAAGTACTTGATTTCCCTCGATTTCGCGCTGAAAAATGGGTACAAGATGCTGCCAGAGAATCTGATGAACAACTACCTGTCCCGGGATTTGATACAAAGACAAGCGTTTCTGGTCACGCGGTTCTTCTTTCTGGCGCCTGGTACTTCTTCGGAGCAACACGAGACGAAGCGGAGGAGGGACAACGAATGGGTAGATTCGGCGCTGGACGCGTTGGAGTTATCCTGTGCAAAGGCATCGTACTCGTACTAATCGCAGTCATGCAAGACAAATTTCTTGTTTAACCTAAGTCAGCATGACAGATTCCATTTGTCATGCTGAGCGAATTTGTATTGCAGTACTACGAGTACGATACTTTTGCAGTTCATAGGAGTTGGTGGATGACGATTTTGTCCGTTTCGCGACCGAGATGCAATTTTTGCTCGCACTCTGGGGACGGATGCTGCTGGGCGGTGGTGGGTTTGGGAAGCATGACGAAGGGACGAATAATCCTCCGGTTATGCAGAATTTCGTCGCTATGTTGGATGACAGTAGCGACGGATTCGCTTTGCCAAGTTTAAGAACTGCTGCTACGCAAGCTGTTTCTAGCGAGGAGGCTGTAGAGGTGCCACTGCGCGAAGCAGAAACGTCGCATGCTGGTGCGGGAACATCGATACAGCAAGAAGATCAACACCACACGGAGGTAGAGGTAGTGGAGAAACCACTTCTATCGAATAAAGCGGACGACGAGGTTCTTCTTCTTCCCGTGACTCCGGATGCAGTGTCGGACGAGTCTGCAGCTTCACATGATGATCCTGTCGCGGAGCAGCAGTGGGTGCAGACCCATCTCACGTTCGACGAAATCCAAACCGAGGACGAGTTCAACAAGTACGTGCAACGAGAATTTTTCGACAAACTTGAAAACGGAAATACAAATAACACGATCAGTACAACTTCTAGCATCAAACCAGAACTGCAATTTCTCCCATCCGTCATGAAAGCATCCGACCGACTTCCGGCCTTCCTTCCCGTGGCAGACGTAGTTTTTGAACCTGAAGAAAGCCATAGCGAAGCAGACCTGCATAATCCGCCCTCTTTGCTGCAACGAGCTACAAGTTTCCTTTCTGCTACCGTATTTGGACGAACAAGCGCTCCAACCCAAATTATCCACCCGCTGGAGATCTCCCTGGCTAACGGCGCGAAATTGGACATGTTTGATGTCGCAATGCGTTCCCCACAGTACTTCTTCGACGAGACTCTGTGGGCAGTGGAAGCAAATTTGGGCCTCGATGACGCGGTCAAATTGGAACTGATACAGCCCTTGAAGATGGAACAAAATAAGACAGCAGCTGCAGAAGGCCGCGAGAAAGAACATCAGAAAGAACTCTACAAGATTGCGTGTTTGAAGCCGGTGTTCGAAATTGAGGCGGACAAAACGCAGCGGTACACGCTCGAGGTGATCATCTTGGACTTTTTTCAGTTCGACCATGAAACCGGGCCGGGCAATGCAAATCCTTGTTTTCGTCATGGTCATGCAGAAGCAGCGACTGTGACCGCGACACCCACGGCAGCAGCTCCGGTTGTAGCGGTGCCGCCGCTTCTAGACGGTGGTCATTTGATGAACGACTTGTTTATTTCCGATGGTGGAAGTGATGTTTCTTCGGTCGAAGACGATCCGGTGAGGAGGACGCAGACTTCGTCCAACGACGTGCCTATCGCTATTGATGTCGTGGCGCAAGATGCAGTGGAGCGACATTCACGATCTCCAACGGCGCCGACCATGGCTGGGAGATTTCTTTCTGAACAGGCTGCGATGAAACTTGGCGAGCAAGAATCTGGTGGCGCGATCCCTTCAGTGCCTCTAGCGAAGAAGAGGGCCATGCACGAATTGCATGAGCAGCATGACTTTCAAGAAGAAGACCACTCTACGGCTCCACTCGAGGCCGCACCGCTTCTGGCGAAGCGTCATGCAGCTACAAAAGAAGCCGCGGCGTCCCCGGATGCACGAAGCAAAGCGGCGAATCAAAACTACGGCAAGCAGGGTGACAGTACGACTTCATCTCCCAGCTTGGCAGCCACGCCGGGTTCATCTCCACAGGTCGTGGGGCGGTCGGGTCGCCGGAGTACCAAGGGGAAGACAGCTACTAGTGAATCGACGGAAAAACAAGAAGCTCCGTCGCGACAGCAGGAGCAAACATCTGGAGTTCTTGAACAAGTAGAAGGATTTTTGTCAGGCCAAAAGCTGCCGACATCAACCTCGTCCCCACCTTCCATTTCCACCGGAAAGAAGAACACACCACCAAAGATATCAAGTGCAAAAATGTCTGGGTCTGGAAGATCGCAACTTGGCATGCTGTTTTTGCACGCTAAAAAAAGTATTGCATGACCAGCATTGTGCTACACGGACAGGGCATTTCTCATGCGGAAGGTGCATCAGGAAGCCCGCTAAAGGTCTGCGATGCTAGGTCATGCATTACAGGCATGATAGGCCATGAGAAATATGCATGAAAAATCTTGCACTCTTCCAGACCCAGACATTTTTGCATTTGATAAAAGAAAAGGGTGCACTACTTCGACCTGCTGACAGACACTCCCGCCCATCTCCTGATCTTTCTCGCACAAGAATTCCCCGCGACTTTTATCACCGACGAGGTTCTCCAGAATCTGAAAGCGGCGAAGGAGAAAAACCTTTCTCTCAGTCCGATTTTGGAGAACGTGGAGCTGCAAGACCAGTTAGAACAATTCGGGCCGGACGGTTCGGAATTCGGGATTTGGACGGTAATCGAAAAGTGGGTAACCAACCGGTTTCAGAAATTGGATTCGCTCGCGAGAAAACTGGTCGTGAAGCGGGTGAGCGCGCCGGTAGCTAGTTCGGAAAAGGTTTCGGCTGTAGAACACTGGATGATCAAGGTGAATGAGGTTTTTGATAAGACGCTGAAAGTGGACCCGAAGTTGGTCGAGATGTTTCGGAGGGCAGCAGGAGGGGATCTGCAGCAGCAGCAGCAAAAACTGCCCATGAACAAGACTTCTGCAGTACAAGTAGGTGCTGCACCCACGAAACCCGCGGCATCCACCTCTACCTCGTCTTCGCCAGTAGAACTCCAGCAGCTGCAAGCAGAGCCAGCATCAGCTGCAGTGGAGCCTCCAGTGCAAGACGCAGCTACAGCTGTTTTCCCGAGAAGTAGTGAAGTAGAGACGCCAATTGCAGGGACAAAAGAACAGCTTGAAGACCACTTGGTGCCTGCAATCAACAAGAAGAACCCAGCGGTTCTTCAACTAGAGCCGCAACATTCCGTGTCCGCCCATCTTCCGCAAGAAAAACGACCATCAACATCGCAGGAGCTCTTAATCCTCCCGCGAACGGAAAACTTCAAAATTGTTCCCGCAGTGGAGATTATGCAGCGGTGGCTGTATGCGATTGTTGCAGATGAAGCGGATTTATCAAATGCAAAAATGTCTGGGTCTGGGAGATTGCGAGATTTGTCATGCTAGTCTGGCATGACTCTGAACTCTGTGCTGTATGGCCGTTAAGAGCTCCTCTGCCCTGTCATGCAAAAACGCAGTTTCTCATGCGGAGTACGCAACTCAGAACCATGGAAAAAACTTGTCATGCTTGGCAGCGCATTACACTGAGTTCACTACTCCCTCTCTTGCGTCACAAGTTTGTTCCAGACCCAGACATTTTTGCAATTGATAGGATTTGGATGCGATCGACGAGGAGTTTGGCGAAGAAGGGGAAGAACAGCAACCTGTTGTCACGAAGTTTCAGCAGGATGCAGGAAGCATCAACGAAGGCGGAAATGAACCTGGGGAGGTCGGGCAGAACACAATGGCTGCACAAAGTTCTGTCATTCAGAAAACAGCTCTACGTCTACAAGAAGAAGCTCACGACCTCGACGATGATGAGGATGGCAAAACCAGCCGTGCCAAAATGGCCCAAAACATCCAGGAGATCCTCGCGGAAGAGGATGAAAGCAATACCGAGCCACTACTGTACACTGCAAATCTGCCGGAACAAGCAACTGCGACAGTGGTTCCAGAGGATTTTCCTCTACCTGAGGTGACTACAGATCCTGAGGTTTTTGATACTGCTTCTACTGTTCCCGAAAGTGCAGCTTCTCTTTCGTCCTTGTTCTATGATGAGCTTGGCGCAATAGTAGATGTCGGACCGGATCCTGTTGCTGCGTCGAACAACAGCATCAACCAACAGCACACAGAAATTCCCCCAGCAACAACATCTACTCCTACACCGCAAAGATTTCGAAACGGGAGGCGGGTAAAAACCCTGGACGAAATCATGCGGATGGACAACGATGGGGTGCATATCAAATGTAAAAATGTCTGGGTCTGGAAGATTGAAACTTGTCATGCTAAATCCGAATAATGCAAAAATCTGTGTTGCATGAGTGCCAAAAGCTGTCCACTTTCGACCAAGTTGGGCGGGAGTTTCTCATGCGGGCTAGGCATGGTAGAGACCTCACAGACTCTGTCATGCTAGGTCCTGCATTCCAGACCTCATGGGTCATGGAAAATCTGCATGACAAACCTCGCAATCTTCCAGACCCAGACATTTTTGCAGTTGATACTGCAGGACTACATGCAACACCCCGACGACCCGTCTGGCTTCGACTTCCAGCGAGGGGCCGATTTAACAAAGGTCGGAGAGGACGCATTGGAAGTAGCGCAGGTGGGAGCAACAGGAACAAGGAAAATAAATTTCGCTGCAGTGGAGATGAACGGAACTACGATACTGGGTGGAGCAGGACACCAAGGGGCCGCGGGTTTGAAAATACCAGCAGGAGCAGCATCAACAAGAGCTACGGGCGGCATTCTTTCTTCGGCAGCACCGGCGGTACCAGCAGGGTCGTCCACCTGGATCATACCGCAAGCACCACCGGAAGAATTTCCAAACCTGCAGGCGGGTGACGATCAACTACAGTTGGACCAGGAAATCGAGGACGAACTGCAGTACCAGCAAGACTTGTTGATGCGACTGGTTGAGGAAGACAAAGCCAGAGATGCGGAACTAGCTAGACATCAAAACGGGGAAGAAGAAGTCCTTGTGCAGCAAGCGGTACAACATGAACAGGAGGTTCATCTTCCGACGGCAGGAGTGGATCATCCCCCGCAGACTGCAGCAGAACCCGCGGCTGGTGCACCTTCAGATTCACTCCCTCTAGATGTTCTGAAACGACCTCAGCCTCCTGCAGAAGTCGAAATTTCATTCGAGGCGCCTCCAACAAATACCAGGTTCGAGCACGAAGATTTACGGCATCCAGATCTGGACGATCTAGTGGGGCGAGATGAGGATGAAGAACATGATGGTGCAGTAACGACCCCAGATGTATCAAATGCGGGTCGAAATCCTTCTCCTTCACCCCTCTTCACGGCTGCGGAGTTGCACTGGCTCCTGCGACCGATGGCGTACGGAAAAAATGATCCGCCACCACGACCTGGTCGTTATGCAGCTGCGGGGGAATCCGAATCAGAAGCTAGTAGAAATGCAACACTCAGTACAACTTCTTCGGCTTCCGAAATAACGGAGAAGCGAAAAGAAGGATCCGAGAGGGAGGTCGCTCTGGAAGTAACAGCAAACGGCACCACCTCAAATTATTCATCTGCGCAAAAGAAAGAACTCGAGCAACAACTGCGGAAGTTGCTGCCAGACGTACAACTTGAAGATGGCGCAACCACGACTCCAGAGCCGGAGCAGCTCGTGGACCAGAACCCAGGAGATGACATTGCGGCCAGTAGTTCACCACCTACAGTGCCGGAAGCAGGCAGCAGAAATCACCCACTGCCTGTAGTTGTGAACAAAACTACTGCGTCAACATCATCCCGAGAACAGCAAGTAGAACCTGCAGACACCCTCCTCCCCTGGCCGTCCCACCCGAACGACCAGGAGGCCGCGAAGTGGGGGAGAGCCGGGCGGAGACGCGGAAACAAGAATCCTGGAGGGCCGGAGGTGAAGAAGAAAATTTTAGTTTTTCCAGCAGTGGACTTCTCCAGAGTGCAGAACAACAAGAATACGAAGATATCGAGTTTGTTTTTCCGGTTTGTCTCATACAAAAAGCTCCTACAATATGACAGTGCACAACTCCCCCTCCCCCTCATTTGTGATGCAAAATACCTAATTTACTCCTTGGCTCGTGGCCTTGTTTGCATGACAAGTTCTGGCAGCCCAAATAGCACAGACCTCCAGTCCATGTGAATTTGTCATGCGAAACCTGTATTCTTGCTAACGCTTGTATTGCTGTTCATGCAATACAAATGAGGGGGAGGGGAGTTGTGCACTGTCATATACAAGTGGTTGTTTCCTGCTTTGCGGCGGTGTACCGGCGAGACGGGTTGTCGATAAACAATCGGGTGGAGAATGAGGTTGATAGCAGCAAAAATGGGAACAATATCAGAAAGAAAAGCAACGACATCAAACCCGAAGCTCAAGACATGCAGCTCCACATTTACACAACCGACGGTGAGCTGCAATTCGTGTACTCTTCGCAGCAGATGCTCAAGATGCGCGAGAACTATTTTCCCGAATTACTTCTAACTTTGTGGCAACAAACTTACGACTTTCTGCGGTATGTGAAGTTGAATGAACAATGAAAAAACAAAGAAATTGATGAGGAACAAGGTAAAGGTCCAAGTACTAGGTTTCATACAAAAAAATCTTCGCAACGTTTTACTTTTAGCAGTTGATACCTTTTTAGTTTTTATTGTACCAAACCCCAAACGAATCAATCAGCAGAATCATAGCTCGGGCGTACCACGGGGGAAAATTAACGGCTCGACAATTGTACTCGACAACATGTTGTAAAATGAACTTCTTTGCGTTTGCCAGTGAAAAACAGTTCGCAAGAAATCAAAACTAAAGCGTATCCGCAACCAACCTGTATAATTTAGACAGTTAATCAATCTTCTATCGTGTGAGTATCTTATCTCACGCGGCACGAAAACGGACGGAGGTTCGTAGTCGTAGTCGTGTGCGACCTATGCCAGACAGCATTTCGGCGTGAAGTTTCACAAGTTTCGCTTTCAGAAGTATCGCTTTTCTACGCGGTTTGAGCAAGAACTGATACTAAACCTTTCCTCCAAGCTGACAAATGAGCTCACATTTTACAGTTTCTCACTTTATTCCCCCACAAAAACCAACTCAATTTTATACAAGATGCTCGTCAATTTTACAAACTAGAATCCGAATAAAAATACACTCTGAAAGTAAACTCTGCTCAGAAGGTTTTAGACATGCCTTGCTAGGGGTCTACTTTTACCGGGGCCGCTTGATAAAATTGAAGATCCTCTACTGCGCAGTCCCTTCATTGCTCGTTCACGGTGGAGCACAACAAGACTTGTGCCTGCAGTTTGAGCTTTTATTTTGGACTAGTCTAAAAAGAAAAACCGTTGTACTAATACTGGAAGTTTAATAGCGAGATAAATGACAAAGACGAAGGAGTGACGTACTCACACTGTAGCAGTATCTTCATGAAAATCTTCGTCTAGACAGAATGACAAACTGTACTGACAAGCTAAGTGGTACTGACTTACCCCCTTCTTCTTCTACCCCTTAAACAAGCTGTAAATCTGTATATCCTGTTCTTTCATCACTTGTTGAGCTACGGACTTGAAAAAAATGCCGAAGAACCCAGCTGAGAACTTGTTGTGAGCAATTGTACCGAAATAATTTTCAGCGATGAAAATTTCCACTATGCTGCATTGTAGACCGTGCTTCTAGCTACAAAAGCATCATTCCTGATTTGATCTTACGAACGAACGATGATGTTGAGACCCTTCGAGAAGAAGGGAAGACTTCGAATGAAAACTGGAGCTAGTACCATGTTGCAAAAAGTTGTCCGAAGGATTTCGTCGAAACCAGCTGTAAAGCACCGAAGTTTCTGCAGCTACTTTTTCCCTCGCAGAGAACTCGCTAGTCAGCCACCGTGACAACTTTGGGGCGGATTGTTCTATGAAAATTTAGTGGCGCATATAATTGCCGCAGGTACTGAATCTGAATTCTGAAGATCAAGATTCTCATGAGCAGCTTTGTTGCAGCTGCAGGTTCGAAAGAGCGCGATGAAACGAGCGGAGATATTGAAGGTTGTCTTCTCCTGCTGGAGCGGAGGACTCATTTGCATAGGAAATAGAGCAAGACGGGGACGAGGTAGGAGCGAAAAATCTCACGAGGTACTAATTATTAAGGCCACGACGGGCGGGCTTGTAGTTCATTCGTGGATAGAGATGACCACGAGCAGAGTGAACTACAAAAGCAGACGCAATAACTACACCTTGTTGCGGAACAAAATGACGTAACATCAGGAAAAAATGACGTAAAAGAGAGTTGCCTTCTCTTCCGACGAAAACCGCAGCAGCACCCCGCGGACGCTGCCGCAATGAACCAGCGGAAGAACCCCTTCGCGGGGGGCGGGCTCGGCGGCCGCGGACAGCACGGAGGTGCCAAACACGGGAGTCAGCATGACGAAAACCAAAATGACGATGAGAATCAAAACAACCCAGGAGACGGCAGTGGCTCAAACAATTCCGGCAATTTGCTGGCCGAAACGTTCTATCAACTGCAAAAATGTCTGGGTCTGGAAGGTTGCAACGTGTCATGCTAAATCTGAATCAGGCAAAATAAAAAACTGTGTTGCATAATTGCCAAAAGTTGTGCACTTTTGACCTAACCGAGAGGCAGTTTCTCATGCAGAATAGGCATTAGAACGGTCTCGCGGAATCTGTCATGCTATGTCCTACATACCAGACGAGACCTCATGGGTTATGCGAAATATGCATGACAAACCTGGTGGCAATCTTCCAGACCCAGACATATTTGCAGTTCATACCTTCTCCATCGAAACTCGGTTCAATGAGTTCTTCGACTCCCGCCCCGTCATGCTGTCGATGGCCTGTTTGACCGTATTTGTCTTATGGGGTGACGACCTTCGGTTGTACGCGTTTCCGAAAGATTACGACCCGGTCTTCTACACCTTTTTCCTCATGGCCTTTCTCATTTTCTTTTTCGAGTTTATGGGGAACACGATCTGCAAGCCGGGTTACAAGGGCGGGTTCTTCTTCTGGCTGGATTTGATCGCGACATTTAGTTTGCTGATCGACATTCCCTGGGTCCTGGCACTGATCGAGAAGTTAATCGCGAGTAGTTCCGGGCAGTCGGACGACGAAGAATCGGGTGCAGCGTCGATCTATGCATTGCAAATGTGTCTGGGTCTGGAATGGTGTGAACTTGTGATGCGCATTTCACAACACACACAAATCTCTGATGCGTAGGCAGCAAAAGATGCCCACTTACTGTCACCAAAATGGAGGATTTGTCATGCGGATTCGGCATTGCGGAATCTTCTCGAAACCTGTGATGCTAGGGCTTCCATGCCAGAGCTTCTGTGTCATGCAAACACAGCACGACAAAACTCTGCAGTCTTCCAGACCCAGACATCCTTGCATTTCATACGATCAACTCCACGGTCGCGACGGTGCGAACTGCCCGGGCGGTGCGGCTCGTGCGGTTGATCCGGTTGGTGCGAGTGGTGAAGCTGTGGTCCATGGTACGGAAGGCGAACGAGTTTTGGGAGTGTCAGGATTGAAATCGTCGAATTTGAAATACTAGTTTGTCATGCATAGAATACAGCCCACAAAGTGCCTGTCTTGCAGAGTAGGCAAGTGAGGTAGATCGTAAGCTTGTTGAGGGGTAGAAACTGAGCTGCTAAAGTAGGATGACAAAAGGCGTCTTCCTTACCCAAACAGCATGAGAGAAACTGGATTTCGGCTCTACCCAAATTTGTCATGCGCCACTTGGAAAGTGGGTTACAACTTTCATCCATTTTATGCATATACTTACAAACTTTGTCGGTTTCAATCCTGACACATCCATACGAATCCCAAACGGACGAGATGCTGCAGCAGCAACAACGGAATGCGCAGAACGCGAAGCAAGCGGCTCTGAAGCGGGTGGAGGCAAGTCGGTTGGGGAAGTTGTTGTCGGAGATGACGACAAGACGGGTCGTCGTCATGGTACTGATGATGCTCTTCGTCTTACCGTTTCTCGACCCGGCGGATTTGGACAACTCCAAAGTGTTCGGTCTCTCGCTCCTGTTCTGGTTCGGCCGCAGCTGGTGCGACACGAATCCAAGTGGTGCGACATCTTCAGGTAGTTCCTCTTCCTCCTCCTCCGCGGCTTCTTCCAGTGACCACTACGGGTGTTCCGAGTTTCAAACGGAAAACTGGCTTTTTCTTGACGGGTGGCGGCTATGACCTACTCAAACGTTACAATCTCAAACGTTGCAATAGAGTCTGGAATTTGTTGTCTCGCATAATGAGCATGACAGACTCGCAGACCATTCCACTTTCTGCAACACAAATTTCGGCAGATTGTAGTCTGGTTTGGGACTCCGGAACTTGTCATGCGCAGTCCTATGAGACTTGGCTAGATCATGCACTTCTTGCATGACAGATTTGCAAGTTCTATTGTAACGTTTGAGATTGTAACGGTTGAGCAGGTCATAGCGGCACCTGGTGTTTTCCTATTCGCAGCTCAGCCGGGACCGCTATGAAGTGCAAATATGTCTGGGTCTGGATGAAAAGTGGAACTTGTAATGCGTGTCTTGCATTTCTGGAAAATCTTCTGTGTTGCATGTGTAGCAAAAGAGGAGCTTCCACCTTTGTCATGCAAAAACGAGATTTGTAATGCGTGCTAGGCATCAACCGGCGTCTGAAAAACTTGTCATGCTTGGCTGCCATTGCATTTGCAAGCGCCTCCGTGAACATGCGCGACTCAGCATCACAGGTTTCCAGACCGAGACAAATTTGCATTTCATAACCGGTACGCAAGCACGACTGCGGACCACCTGAAACTGACCGAACCGCTGCTGTGGTATGCATTGCAAATATGTCTGGGACTGGAAGGTTGCAACTTGTGATGCTGTCCTCACATTCCAAAAGGATTGGTAGTGCAGGAGCAGCAAGAGAAGTCCAGTTTGTGCTACGTGGGGAAGGCATTTCTCATGCGGAATTTTAGAAATCTGTGATGCTAGATCATGCATTACAAGCATCGCCGGTCATGCGAAGTATGCATGACAAACGTGGCAATCTTCCAGACCCAGACATATTTGCATTTGATATGTGGCTGCGGGTCCCCAATTGGGCGGACGGGGGGAAGATGAGCGACATCGCGTCGGTATCAATTGCAAAAATGTGGTCTGGGTCTGGAAGAGTCATGCTGCTTTTGCATGACACAGAAGGCCTGCCATGGAAGTTCTAGGATCACAGGTTTCGAGAAGCTTCCGCAAAAATGCCGAATCCGCATGACAAATCCCCCATTCTGGTGACAGAAAGTGGCCAGCTTTTGCTGCCTGTGCATGAAAGATTTTTATGGGTTGTAAAATGCGCATCACAAGTTTGCATTCTTCCGGACCCAGACACTTTTGCATTTGATAGTCGGTGGTAACGGACAAGGGCTCGTGGTACGAAAACGCGTTCTGCGGCCGGCTGTTTCTGGTCACGAACGGGGACCACTGTCCGCATCGGGAGGACGAACTCGAGGATGTGATTTACATTCCCCCAAACACGGAGCAGATGATCATCGCAGTGGCCCGGTTTGACCGGTCGGAGTTTTCGCGGGAACAAGCAGCGGTCTCCATGCTGCAAACGTGTTTCGTGTGCATTCTCCTCGGTACGATGTCGATTCAGTTTCAGAACGACACGCAGTCACTCGTGATTCGGCCGATCGAAAAGATGGTAAATATCATCAAGCAACTAGCGGAGGACCCGCTAGAGCCACCGAATCTTGACGAAGACGGAGAGGAGAATGGGAACGGCAGTGCAAGTTCTATGGGCGGCGGTGGTGGCGGCTCTGGTGGGGGAGCAGGGGGGAATAGCGGTGATGGGAAAAATATCGTGTGCAAAAGTATCGCATTCGTATTGCAGTCGTGCATTATAAATCTTTTTCTTAAAGGTAAATCCGCATATCAAATTCCATTACTCATGCTGAGGAAATTTGTAATGCATTCATACGAGTACGATACTTTTGCAGTTCATAAAAGAGAAGAAGAAGAAAAATAAGGGGCCACAGCTGGAAACCACGATGCTTGAGAACACCATTTTGAAAATCGGCGGATTGTTGCAGGTACAGAAGTTCTTACGTTTTTGAAGATGTCTGCACGCATGATTGGCGCAAGGAGGTGATCACGATCAGTACCTAGACCCGTAAAGAGAGCATGCGCATGAAAATGATCCCTCCCCAAGTAGTTCCTGCTTCTTTCTTTCGAGAGCCGCTATAGAAATCACCTCGAAATTTTACTTTACTTAGGTTGGTTTCGGCGAGGCCGGTGCACAGATCATCGGGAAGAACATGTCATCCGGCGACGGCGAGCTGAATATCATGATGCCGGGGTCGAAAGTGGAGTCCATTTTTGGTTTCGTGGATATCCGGCAGTTCACCGACACGACAGAGTGTTTGGAGGAAGACGTCATGGTGTTTGTCAACTCCATATCAAATGTAAAAATGTCTGGGTCTGGAGGAATGCCACTTGTTATGCTGCATTTGGATTCCAGAAAAATCTGTATTGCATGAGTACCAAAAGGAATGTAATTTTTGCTACACGGAGAGGGCATATGTCATGCGCAATAGGCATCAAGAAGCTCTGAAAAAATCTGTGATGCTAGGGCATGCATCACAGACATCAGGGCTCATGCAAAACGTGCATGACAAGTGTCAGAATGTTCCAGATCCAGACATTTTTACAGTTGATACTCCATCGGCTACATTGTGCACAAGTGCGTCCACCGCTGGTCTGGGGTGGCGAACAAAAACATCGTACTCAGACGAAAAGATCTCCCCTCCCCATACTGAAAGCGCATCCGTGTGAAAATCTGTGATGCAGATCTGTGGCCACAAATCCTGTCTGTCTTGCAAGAAGGCAAACCCAGAGAGTCCGCCGCATTATGCAGGCGGTTTGTGATGCTGGTCGGCTTACAGCGTCGACATCTGTCATGCCAGTCTCCTACATCAAAACCTTGCGACTCCGGCTTGGCATATGCCTGCAGTCCTCTCCTGCAAGACAAATTTGTGTACGGAAATGCAGCATGAGAAACTTCGTTTTGATATCGGGAGGGGGGATTTTTCCTTTTGGTACATCGGGGACGCCTTCCTCGTGCTGTGGAAGATTCCGGACCGGAACAGTTTCGGGTCAAATGGAGGGAGTAGTGGTGGGCTGTTCGGGTCCCACGGCTCGGCGGGGAGCAGCCAGCTGCAGGTAGCCGACATTGCGGACCGGAGTTTGGTAACCACTGCAAAAGTATCGTACTCGTAGAACCTAATCCCAACACTGTGTGCTGCTGACAATATTATGTCCTCCCTACTGAATCCAGATCAGCATCACAAATTCTTCTATTAGTATTTACATTGCTTGACTTCCGGGTTCTGGTACGGCATACCCCCGGCGAGAGGTGACCTTGACAGGTGACCTCGACAGGTGACCGTGACAGGTGACCTCGACAGGTGACCTTGACAGGTGACCTTGACAGGTGACCTCGACAGGTGACCCGGACAGGTGGCCACGACAGGCGACGACGACAGGCGAAGCGAGAGGTGAAACGAGAGGCGACGCGACAGGCGAGGAAAGAGGATAAATCACAGCTGAGGCCAACACCTACGCGCGTTTCGTTCTTGACGTGAAAAGCAAATATTTGCGACGCAGAAAATGAAAAAGATAAAAGGGCAAAGACACAAAGAACTGGCCCCACACACAAAGACGTTTCTGCGTCGCCATGAAAAAATAAAAAAGCGCTTACTTCTGCAACCAATGCACGCCCGGGAGACCGTCTCCCGGAGACGGCTGCTTACTTCGCCTCCGGAATCGGGAATGAGTTGCGCATCAATATTAGAGAACTTCTCTTCAGCAGCCGGGCAGAGATATCGCCTTTGCTTCTATTTCATTTTTGTCTTGCAAAATGCAGGCACCTAATTCATCCTTTTGTTTTGCCAATAGCGCACTAAGCCACCATGCGCGCGCCTGGTGTGAGGCGAGGGGCGGACGCTGTCCGCCCCGAAGGCGAACACCCTTTCCCCACTAGCGCCACTAGGGACGGGCACAAGGCCCCAGCGTGGGGACCCTGTCCCCACGCGTGGGTCTTGTTTTTCATGCTGCGCAAATTTGTCATTCGGTGCTGGCTACTAGAACTATCCAGTGCGACACTTTTGCAAAAATGCATATTTGTTCGCGTTTCTCAAAATCATCGCTGAGGCAAAGCGGTCCGAGCGCATCAAGTCCTTCGCGAGTCACCCCCGGATCATCCAGAAATTTGGCAAAAACTGTATAACCTGCTCAGGTGTTACAATCTCAAGCGTTACAATAGAATATGGAAATCTGTCATGCAAGAAATGCATTATCTACTTAGCCAACTCTCGCAGGATTGCGCATGACAAGTTCTGGAGTCCCAAACCGCGCTGCAATTATCTGGCGTAGTTTGTATTGCGGAAAGTGGAACGCTGTCCGAGTCTGTCATGCTCATTGTGCAATACAAAACCCGGACTGTATTGCAACGTTTGAGATTGCAACGTTTGAGCAGGTCATAAACTGCGAGGTCTGCCGGTTTGGGCTTGGGCTGCACGTCGGGTGGGCGATCGAAGGTCCAATATCCTGTGTAAAAACGCCCTTACCCCAAAGTTAAGTTGGGAATTTGGCAAGACAAGTCGACCATCTTTGGGACTCACGCATAGCAAGTTCTTTGGCTTCTACGCAGTGCAGTCGTGCCTAGCTAGGTCAAACGCATCACAGATCCAGTCTGGCACCCTGATTAGCGCATGACAGGTTTTTCCCAGATGCCACTAGGTAATGCCTCTCATAGAGTGAGCGGCATGACACACATTCTGAGCATGCAGATCTGCATGACAGCTATTGGGTGGGGAAGTTTCTCCTCAGGGTATCCAATCGGCAGTGACTACAAAATCGACGCGAGTTACCTGAGTCCGCACGTGAATATCACGATGTCGCTGGAGGCCTGGACGAAGATTTACCTGGTGAATCTGCTCCTGTCCGAGCCACTGTACCTCTTCCTGTCGCTGAAGGCCAAACAACGGTGTCGGAAGATCGACATGGTGAGCATTTCGACGGACATATGCAATGCAAAAGCATCGTACTAGTACAAATTGCATTACAAAGTAGCCCACCATTACAAATTGAATTTGTAATGCTGATTTACCCTGAGAAAGAGATTTGTAATGCATAAATGCAATTAGAATTACTACGAGTGCGATACTTTTGCACAGGATAGGACAATGCTAGTAGCAACGCGACAGTGGTCTTGTCCACTTCTACTTCCGGAGCAGGAACGAGCTCGTCAGGTACCGGTGGCGGCGCCCAGGACGCGGGTGGCGAGGGCGGAAGTGGTCTTGCTGGATCTGTTACGAGTCTCGGCGCAGGAGGAGCAAGTGCGGCTCCGACTAGAACCGCATATCACAGGAAAAAAGTGTTACAGTTACACATCTCTTGGAACTTCTGCATCACAAATTTGCTCTGCATGCCGAAGAAAACTTGTAATGCGCAGACCATAAGGGAAAACACGAATGGAATGAGGCTGGCAATTGTTTCCTGCATGACAGAGGTTGTCTGTCTTGCTTGTCTCGCATGAGAGTGTGTAACTGTAACACTTTTTTCTCACGATACCGCGGGCGCGCTGTTAAGTAGTTCCGGTTCGGTGTTACTGGCATCTGGTGGCGCTGTATCAAGTGCAAATATGTCTGGGTCTGGAAGGTTGGAACTTGTGATGCTAACTTTGGACTCTAAAAAAAACTGTATTGCATGACCAGCAAGAGGAGTCTAGTTATTTGCGCTACGCGGGGAGGGCGTTTGTCGTGCGGCGTAGGCATCAGGAAGCCCTCTAGAAATCTGTGATGCTAGGTCGTGCATTACAGACGTCCTGGGTCATGCAAAACATGCATGACAAGTCTCAGAATCTTCCAGACCCAGACATATTTGCATTTGATACGCTGGCGCGTCGCACGGGGCCGGGTCGTCAAGCACCAATGGGAAGCCGTTTGGGCTGTACACCTTTCCCATGGATGTCACCAACTGCGTCGCCACCACGCCGTATCAATTTCTCGAGCAGCACCGGTCGCCGGGCGACGTGTGGAAACCGGAATCATTGTCCGAGAATGTCTATCAAATGCAGCTCAATATGTCGGAGTCTGGAAGAATGCAACCTGTGATGCTAAGTTTGGAATCTAAAAAAATCTGTAAATGCATGAGCAGCAATAAAAGGAGTCGACTTGTTTTTGCTACGCGGCGAGGGCGTTTCTCATCATGCGGGATAGGCATCAAGAAGATGCCCGCAAAAAATCTGTGATGCTGCTGCATACACCACAGACATCATGGGTGGTCATGCAAGGTGTGCATTTGACAAACCTTGCATCCCTCTAGTGACCACATTCATATTTGCAAAACTGCATAATGTCAACACGGATGTTATAGAGATGCGCGACGGGGTGGAGTTTTTGTTCCTGATCGACAAAGTATGACAGTGCACATAGCTGCCCCTCCCCCTCATTCGTATAGCATGAACGGCAATACAAGCATCAGCAAGAGTGCCGGTTTTGCATGACAGATTTGCACCGGAGTATAGTGCTATTTGGGCTAGTGCCAGAACTTGTCATGCATAATAGTGACAGGAGGGAAAGCGTGGATTTGGTAGTTTGCATGAGAAATGAGAACGAGTGGGAGTTGTGCACTTTCATACAAAGACGTGCATCTGCTGCAGAAAAACGTTCCGGGTTTTGATCCAGACCTGCTGCAAGTCAACTGCTCTACGCAGCTGGAGGTGAAAGCGAAACAGAGAATATGCAAACAAAAAAAGTGTTACAGTTACACATTGTGTTGCGGCAAGCCCTGTCATGCCGGATATGCACAAGAACACAATTTCATGAGTGTTTTCCCTTGTGATCTCTGTCATGCAAGGCAAGTTCGTCTTAGTGAGCCGAAGGCACTACAAATGTGTAAACTGTAACACTTTTTTTGTGCGACAGCGCAAAGCGCTCAGCTACTACCTCGCGGGCGATTGGCGCTTGGCCAGGGAGTATTACGAGGATTTGCTCGGGAATAGTAATTCCCAGTCAGGAACAACAGCAAATAAGGGAAAAAATAATCCTGATGGAGGTACTAGTGGTAAAAACACTTCTTCAGCATCCCAAGCCGGTGGTGGAATGATGTCAGATGGCGACCAAAATAAACAAGCACCGGGAGTTGTAGATTCTGAGAATGAGGATGCCAGTGACGCAATCTCCAAGTCTACGCTTTCCAATGTGACCGTGAGCACCGCCGGTACGCTTGGAACAACAACGACGACGACAACGGCGGCTTTGAATCTAAATCAAAACAACAAAAAAGACCACGACGGCGTAGGACCACGAACAAATAGTAGTAGAAACAAGGGGGAGCAGCCGAACAATAATGCGAAAACCACGACTGGCACTGGGGTGGATACCTGCGCTCAAGTGGTTTACGAGTACATGAAATCGTTCGAGTTCGTATCTAGATGGAGACCAGTTCATCTCGCATCCACTTGGTGTCATTGTGTCAGTGCAATAACCGTTGCGTTTGGCATGATGCGCTAATGTCGGCTTCTCAGATTCAGGATCAGTATCCAGTTACATGCGGCACAGCTACACTGTTTGCTATGACATATAGACCATTATGCGAGACGTCGCTTGATTCGTGTTGAACTTGAAAGCTGGCAGGACTCCACGCAAGACGGCTATGCGATCGTGAGAAAACGGCGCCAGGCCTGACCCCAACAAAAGAAGGGCACTGGCAGCGGCTTCTCCCACAGGCTGGGCGCACTGTTCATGGCCCCCCGCTTGCTTGGCTCGCCTCGCCTGACACTCACAAACGACACGTAGGACGACCCGGCTATCGCGCACTTGCATACACCTGCCAAAGCCCCCGCTAAAGATTGCAGGCCACTGCCTCCGGGGGTGCTTGGGTTGGCTAATTTGCCTCCTTGGCAGGTCGCGTCCTGAGGGGGCGGGCACACTGATGCCGGTGTGCTGCCCCAAAGAGCCGAACCAGCGGCGCCACTTTTCTAAAAGTCGCGGCCCCGGGCCTCCGCGGATTCTTGGGATTCTTGGAAGAAACACGCACCCGCGGGACCCCTAAAAGGGGTTTTTTCCGGAACCCTTGTAGCAGTGGGGGAAGCTTCCAAAAGTAGTGCTTTTGGGTACCCCTCCCGGAGGGTCCTCGGAAAGGCTCGCGCATCACGGAAAACCTTCCGTCTTAGAAGCCCCGGGCACATATTTCCATAGGGGCGCAGGCCTTCCCCGACTGCTTCTGGGCGATGCTGGCATAGGCCCAAAGACCTGCCCGCGCTAGAGGTAGGCAGCAAAAGGCGCAGGCCGCCGGTGCCTACCCCTGGTTCGCCTTTTTCCAGTGCGCCCGCCTCCTGCAGTTTGTGTCGGCTAAATCATGGCGCAAAACACTACGGCCTTGAAAACTCCCCACACCAAAGACACTAGCGGCTATTGTTATGGATGCACTGCCGCCTGCAGGCTTCGCGCGGTGAAGTTGTGCCGCATGTGGCTGCGCTACTGAAGCGCGGCCCGCCTGGTTCGGCGCCCACTGCTTTATGCAAAAGCAGGTATGCGTTCGCGCACAGGGAGGGCGCATCCGCAAAGCCTTCGCCACGAACGCGGGCGCGCCGAGTCGATGGGAAACCAAAAACGCGGCCCAATGTTGCGCGGCATCGTCGAGGTTTGCCCAACCTGTGCAAGGCCTCTACTTGCTCGAAGTGTGCCCGCGCGGCGGGGCATGCGCATCACCAACACATAGGGGCGCGCCCCTTGGTGCACTTCGGGACGCCGTGGCGCCTCGCCAACAGCGAATGCCACGCGGCGGGCCCTCCACGAAGTGGGTCCCGGAGGAGCTTGACGTGGCCAGCCTCCAAGCTGATAGACACAGGCCCTGTGGGAACGGGGCGCGATGTCTTCGAGTGTCGCCCAAGTGCTCGGAACCCAAATCGTCATGCGAAAAAAAATGCATATCAAAATTTTCAGCATACTTGAAAAAAGCGTCGTTGACGCCACCATAATTATGCGAGACGTCGCTTGCTTCGTGTTGAACTTGAAAGCAAATTCATTGCCAATTATCATGCTGGCGATTTGTATACGCAGAAACGAACAAGGACAAAGGAAAGCGCTCCCTTTGTCCTTCGAAGGTTCCAGCTGCCGCTCGTGGGAGAACAAAAAAGCTGTAACCTGAGTAAAGATTTTACTCAGGTCCGGTGGCCTGAGTAAACTAAAACTTTTACTCGGGTCCGATGGCCTGAGTAAAATCTTCATCGGGAGGGGTCATGAGGGGCAGGGCCATGCCTAAAAAATCTTTCGCGGGCGATCGGGTGGAGAAAGCCCGCTGAAAAAAAAAAAAACTTTTGGGGCTTCCAAGCTGCATTGTCTCCAGAGACCTTTTCTCTTCTCGACCCTCCCAGTCCATGGAGAAAAACCCGGCTGGAAATTCAAAAAGTTTTCAACTTCCCAGCGGCATTTTCTCGAAAGACTTGCGCGGGAAAGATTCTTGTCGACCGCGTCCATGGAGAAAAGCCCGGGTGGAAATTTAAAAAGTTTTGAACTTCCAAGCGGGATTTTCTCGAAAGACTTCTCGGGAAAGATTCTTCTCGACCCAGTCCATGGAAAAAAGCCCGGTTGGAAATTTCCAAGGCGGTTTTTCTTCGCCCGCAGACTTTACATACTCAGGTCCGGTGGCCTGAGCAAAACTTTTACTCAGGTCGCGTATCCTTCGTCCTTCGTTTCTGCATTTGTAATGCAGGAATGCAGGAGAAAACATACCATAGCACGGCTTTCCAACTTTGGAAAGTTGTAGCGCAGAGGTGAAGGACCACTAGGACAACAGAGAGTCAAATTAGTTGAAGTGGCCATCTCAACGTTCCTCCGATGGAGGAAAATTGAAAGAGCCACGTCAACAGTTTGTCCTTCGTTTCTGCAGTAGCATTACACATTGCCAATCATGGCTTCCCCCCGGCCACATGGCCGCAGGCCTGCGCTCGCTGGCGAACGAGCGATTGATGGAGGGACGCGGGGACGGGGTGGCGGATCAGCGACCGGTGATGGAGGAGAGCGAAGACGATGGGACGGCTCGGCGCAAGTTGTCGCCGGTTTGAGTAATGCTCAAAAAGCATGGATGCATCCCCCCCCTCCCCCCCCATTACTTGAATAATGGTCCGACTTTTGTTGGACAAGATCTTGTGAAAAGTAGAGCATTATGCGAGACGTCGCTTGATTCGTGTTGAACTTGAAAGCTGGCACAAAGAGGGCGGCTTAATTGAGCTACTCCATACCCCATCGCGCCGAGTAACTGGAAGGAAACCTACCGGAAGATGTGAAGCAAAATTGAAGTTGGAGTTCGAACCACCACTGAGTTTTTTTGAATATCAGGCTCGTCAGTGGCGTGAGCCCGAGGCAGAATTTTTTTTACAGCTTGCATTTGAGTATAAGCTAAGTTTAAGTACTTCATCTACTTTTAGTGCATGTAGTGAGGTACCACCGTGTGATCCTTGCAAAAATGATCAGACAGAAAGCTAAAAAGCGTACGTGAAGAAAATCCAGAAGAAACGAGAAGCGAAAACCGTTTGAGAAAATTTCAGTTTATTTTGACGAGGTGGTCGGTGAAACGACAACGAGTTGTATAGTCAAGGAATAACAGAAGAGGGCCCAAAAGAGCCCTTAATTTCTTGCAAAGAGACGAGAGGGGAGAAAATGATTACGACCTCCTCATGCACAGTTGAGTTACTGCATTTGCTTTTGATCAAGACGTCATGCCCATGTAGACGGGAAAAACAATGCACGTGAAGAGAGCGTGGCTTTGCTTATTTTCGTGCCCAAAACCGTGTTCCTACGTCCCGTTGGAACGATTCGATTCTTCTGGAAAGAAACTTTCGGTGTCAACAAGTTTTTTCAAACGTTGTACGTAGCTCCATTCGGCTCGTTCTTAGTCAGCTTGTGACAACTTCGTGACAGATAAACAACACAACAAAGCAGGAGCACGAAAAAGCTCGTCGCGGTCGGCCTGTTATGGAGATTTGGATTTAGTATTTTCATCATTTTGTGATTGTGATTTCGGTTCATGGGCAGCCCATGCAGCCACGAAGATGCTGGTGGTGGTCCCAAAAATCACAATCGGTGCTCGTCGTACTATACCTGGTCTATGAAGACCCCTTCGGATTTTTCAGTCTCGTACCCACACAATAAAGACTGTGCAACATCTTCACAAGTTCTCGGTGCAGAGATCGATGTTCTGATTCATCTTCGGTGTGGCCGTCGTGGTACTTTACTGCGTGGTGCTTTTCAAAAAGAAATCTCTCGGTATGGATGGTGCAGTTTTCAAGCAGTTTCTTGGCTTGATCTTCTCGGTATTCGTGTCGTGCAGCAATTGAGGATAGAAATAGATACACTTACATGGCAGTGGCACGGTGGTTTTTTTCGTTGCAACTGCTAGTGCCGGATGAGGATCTCACTTGTGTTACAAAGCACTTTGTCCTCAAGAGCTATCAATCTACTTATAGTTTTCGTGATTTGCAAGTGCAACAGGTAACGTTGTGCTCTTGTAACCTCAACTAGCACAATAAACAAGACGTCGCGTATTTTTCTTTGAAGATGACCCCACATCACCGATGTACTTCAGTATCTTGTTTCTGCAGCAAGGACCTGAGGATTTTTTTGCCCCAGTTGTACCCACTTTTGCAATATGAGAATGAAGTCGAAAATTTGTTTCCAGCACAAGTAAAAAAGACTTTTTCTGCTTAACCACAATTTTGATCTGAAGATGAGAAAATCGTTGGCCTCCCAAAAGATGCAGTCTTTCCACCCCCGGATGCTGCTCTCTTCTGCCGTTTTCCTGTTGGCGCATGATCCACCTCTCGCAGAGCTTATCCAAGTGTAAAGTTTTTGTCTGTGACGGCAGATTCATTCGCGTTTGCATGGTGTGACTACACTACTAGGGACCACTGGTGGTGCTTTTGGTTGATAGAACTTGTACAGACGCGCGTAGTATTTACCGATGATGCGGAATCTACTTCATCCCTGGAGGTTGCAGTATACTAGTAGACGACCAGCGACAAGCATCGAAAAATCTGCAGTATAGTTTTTCCTTGCATAGACTTTGGGTTGTTTCCGGGAACAAGTTGTGTACGGTTCGTGGCGGGAGTGGAGCAGGGGGAGCGAAAATTTTGGAACCCCTTTGCAGGCTTGTTCGGGGGTGGCGAGAAGAAAGTACTCGCTACATAATCTAACTAGACTTGTTCACTTTAGTTTCACTTTCCATCTTTGCAACTGATCTGCTTCACAAGTTGTATCTTGTTTTTCATCATTTGTCATTCACATAAACAGGACCCGGCCGAGCACGACGATGACGGCGACGATAACGAACGTATCAAAAAAAAAAAAGAATGAGGGCACATCAACGTGCGATGGTGTCAGAAATCCAGCTGAGCGAATACGTGATGCGCCAGCTGTGTTGTGCTTGAGGTTGGACAAAGTGTAATTTTGTATTATAGTCTTGCGCTTTTCCACCTTTTGGATTTGGAGCTAACGCAGAGGGTGAGCGTCTACATCTACGGTGAAAAAATGGTATGAGTTAGAGATTTCCATCCACGTCGTTGAGATTTTTCCGTTTCATATGAGTGGAGCAGGAAGACACGGAGAAGGCGGCGCCGAGCGTCTGGGAGAGTTTTAAAGGCTTGCTTGGCTTGAGCGGCGGAACAGATGATGTATTAAAGCGAGCACTTGTGTTACCGCATGTAGAGTTTTCTTGCTTCTGGGCCACTTGTCGTGCTTACACCGCATCCATATTGAGAAAATATTGCCGGTGTCGTTTCATGACTCGATCGCGAGTCCCCTCTACAGTTTTCAGTTTTACCATGGTATAAATATACACGAATGCAGGGGACGAAGAGTAGTTTGTTAGCCGGTAGTGATTTGTTCGTTCTGCGCATTTGCAGCTTCCGCGTTTACTTCCTCAGTAGGTGTAGAGCTTTTCCCATTAGGTTTTTTCATACGGAAGCACGATCTTTCCGCGGCCTGTGCTACAGCACACTGTCCCTGAAAAAGGCGACGCTGCAGCCTTGGAAGAATGGATGGCGAAACGACATGAATAAACAACAAGTTGATCATGTTGATTATAGATGGAGTCGTCGAACAGCTACTTATTCTATTCTTGTTTCTGTCCATGTCAAAACAGGCGGCAAAAAAGGAGGAGGAACGACAACAAGCAAGGCTAGCTGCCCAGGAGGCAGTTAAGCAAAAAGCCGCTCAAGCAAAAGCTGCCGCCGCCGCAAAAGCTGAAGAACAAGCTCAGGTAGAAACTGCTGACATCGGCATGCATGTTGACTAGAGAACGAAGTGTAGTTTTCCTTGATAGGTACTTTTTCTTCACTCCTTCCACATTCCTGCGTTTCGCTCTGAGCGTTGCTCTTTTCGATATTGGCACATTGGCGATGGCAGCCCTGCAAAATGATGGCTCTCGTCGAACAAGTTGACATGGAGGGTGATGAAATAAAACAAAAAGCTGCACCAGCTGTAGTCTTGCATCTGCTACTTCTCCTGCTATTGGGCCTGTTGTATTCTTGTTTCTGGCAATATTAAAACAGGAGGCGCAAATAAAGGCCAAGGAAGACGAGGAACAACAAGCGGCCGAGAAACGAAGGCTACTTGCTGAAGCTGCCGCAGCAGAGGCCCGAAGAAAGGCCGAACAGCAGAGGAAAGACCCAGAAACCGCTGCGAAAAATGCCGCGAAAGCAAAAGCAAAAGCGGGAGCGGCGCATTACAACGTGCAAAAGTGGTGTGGTCGTGAGGATTCGCATTATTCTACGGCGCATATGTCCTCTGTTGCTATTCAGTCGAGTTTTGGGTTGACTATAGTACAATGGAAAAGTTCTTGTTGTACTGCACACTAGGCGAGATACTTTGTCCATGAAGCTAAAATAGATTCGTCTTCGAATTATAATGCACCCTGTTCTTGTTCGCCGTTGTGGACTACAAGGCTCGGCGCGTGAGCAATCCCTTCGATCGTGCGTTGCGGTGCTGTGAAAGCAATTAGATTTTATAGAAGTAGCACTGTTCTTGTGCTCCACCTCGTCCTTCTTCCTGGAGGAACTTTCTATATTTTCTTCAACAACTCTAGCAAATTTTGATTTCGTGTTGATTGTCCTGAAGCGCTTCGACGGACAGGAGAAGTCTTGCACAGTATTGCCGCGCTACGTACCTCGGCTACCTCGCACTTGCTAAACTGTTGCTATGCCCTACACGACCACGACACTTTTGCACTGGATCATGACGGCGCGGTGGAGTCAGCACAAAAAGTGGAAGGCGCGCAAGGAAGCCCGCCAATGTCACCATCCAAGCTCCTACCGAAGGAAAAAACTACCCCATCTCGAAAATCGTCATCGTCGTACAGGGCTTGCAAGAATATACTACGAGCTTGAAGCTCATGTCGGCCGGGAAGGACAGTCCTCTAGAAATACCTACTGACTTCTTGACGATGCCGAACACAACCTGTGCATAACTGAGCCAGTTGTAGTCTGTCGCTAAGTGGGTCTGCTTTGATCCACGAGAAAAATTAAAGCATAAAATGTCTGGGCGCAACGATCTTCACGAAAGCGAAGCAGTGGAGCTGTGTTGACAGAAATAACTGGAGAATCAAAATAAGTAAGTCCACGCACGGTGTCTGTATGAATTCGAAGATGAGGTAGAAGTTTTCTTTTCATACCGTTCGAGAGCCCGCAGCAGTATGCTCTCTCCAGACCTGCACCTGAACGCGCTGATGGAGAACGCTGCCGGAAAACCGAGTGCCATCACCCCCGTGCCGCCTGCAGGAGGAGGAGGAGGAGGGGCTTTATCTTCTGCCTCGTCGCCGCAGAAGCCAGTTATTTCTTCTTCATCGTCGCCGTCTCCTTCATTGCAGTCGAAACCAGTTGCAGCCACTTCAGCAGCTTCATCCCCTCCATATCCCCAGTGAAAAAGCAAACGTACTCACCAGCCTCGAGTAGTGGTCATGCAGGTCTACTGCGTCATCTAGTCTACATCTGCCGGCGCCTTTGTAGCAACGTCCTTATAATTTCCCCTGAGAAGAGGAGCATAATTGAATTTGTACCTACTCGTACTAGTCGTCGTATTTTCGTTTTGTCAACAGGATGCTGAGCTACTCGCGGAGGGCTTTGTGATGTATCAATCTGGTGTCCTCCTCGTCCTCCTCGCTGATCAGCAGCACTCATACTACAGACCAAAAGAACTTGTTATGCGTAGTGAAGAATACCAATAGAAACTCGCTTCTTTTGATGTAGCAGAAGTCCCACTGGTTTCACTGAGGGGCGGGTACGTTTTTACTGAGGATACTCAGGAGTTGTCGAGAGTCAACAGCGCTCCAGGACCAAAGCCGAGGAGCACGCCACCCGCATCTCCGAAGAAGGAATCAACACCCGCAGCTTCTGCACCTGGTATCCAGAAAGAGAAATGTGGTTTCGTGTAACAGCTTCGATCGTGGACTGACACTATGACATGACTAATTCATTTCTCTGCATCCAGTATAGAGATAAAATTTGTCGTTGTCATGCATAGCTACCACCGGAGATTGATATCTCAGAGGAAGACAGCCGCCGTTCAAGGCTGGCTGGCATGAGAGACATGACTGGTGTTTATTTGCATTTTCTCTGCATCTTCTTCTCAGATTTATTGCACAACTAAGACAGTTTTTTTTTTCCTGGATACCGGGCGCATCGCCAACTGGAGGAGTGGCAGCGCAGGCTGAATTGCGGAGGGTTCAATCTGCTATCACTCCGACTCCGTCAAAAAGACCTCCACCACCTGCGTCTCCGGCTGCAGCTTCAGTGAAGATGAACTTGGGTGCCGCTTTTGAAGAAGCCGCCGCTGCAGAGAAGAAGGGTTCTCCCTCTGAAGCTAGCACTCGTACGCCCTCTGAAGCTAGCACCTTTCATGATATCCGAATCGAAAATCGCCCCTCGTCCGCTGAAGTACTTATCAAAAGTAAAAATGTCTGGGTCTGGAAGAATGCAACTTGTGATGCTGTATTTGGATTCCAAAAAAATCTGTATTGCATGAGTAGCAAACAGAATGCAACTTTTGCTACGCTGAGAAGGCATTTGTCATGCGGAATAGGCATCAAGAAGCCCTCAAAAATCTGTATTGCTAGGGTATGCATCACAGACATCATGGCTCATGCAAAACGTGCATGACAAGTGTCAGAATCTTCCAGACCCAGACATTTTTACAGTTGATATGAAGCTGGCTAAAACAACTCTAAAATAGTTGCAATTGGGAAAAAGCAACAGGCATGCTTGTAGATGTCAGTAGACCCTCAATTATAAATATCCTGTGCTCGTAAAAAAGGATTGGGTTGTAAAGTTCCTCTTGCATCTGCACGCTACTGTTTTTATTTCACTCCGCCGTACGAAATTGAAGATGCACGGACCTTGAGTGTGATGAAACTGCGCTCTTGAACTTTGCCTCCTTAGACTGACGCACAGCATCCTAGCTCTTAAGTACGTCGGACAGACCTGCTGCTCTATACATGCAAGACAAGTAATTCTTATCCTAAGAAGTAAGGCCCTTTCGGGCGGGCAGGTCCGCTTGCAAAAAACGTGCGGCCGCTCTTTCCACTTCCCACTCGTGTCGTGCTAAAAAAACCCATCCCACGGCTGTTGGAAGATCATCCACAACTACGTGGGCCGCCGCGGGGCGCTTTTCATTCTCATATCTTCGTCCGCGCCCTCGTCCACAGGGCAAAAGGCAGGAACAGTGAGGAGGAAGTTCTCGTTTGCAGACGAGTTACCCCAGAAAGCCGTCGAGTTACCCCAGAACGGAAACGTATGGATGTGTCAGAGTTGAAATCGACAAAGTTGAAATAATTTGTCATGCATAAAATGGATGCCAGTTGGAACCCAGTTCCCAAGTGGCGCATGACAAATTTCGGTGGTCCCTAAATCCAGTTTGTCATGCTGTTTAGGCAAAGAAGAGCGATTTTCTCATGCTACTTTAGCAGCTCGAGCTGTGACCCCAAACAGGCTTACAATCGGCCTCAATTGCCTGCTCTGCAACACACGTACCTCGGGTCATGCATTTCATGCATTACAAATCATTTCAACTTTGACGATTTCACACCTGACGCTCCCATAAAACGTAGCTCCGTTGACCGAAAAAAATCTGGCAGCTGCCAAGTTGACCAAGGACGGGCTATTGTGAGGAAAAATCCCCCCTCCCCATATCGAAAGCGAGATTTGTGTTGCTGTATTTGAGTACACAAATCACGTCTGTCTTGCTGGAGAGGACTGCAGACCCATATCAAGCCTGAGTAGAGAGGCTTTGACTTAGGCGCTTAGCATGAAAAGCGTCCGTGATGTTGGCTCAACAGCATGACAAACCGCCTGCACAATGCTGCGTAGCTTGTCGAGTTGCCTTCTTGCAAGACAGACGTGATTTGAGGTCGCAAATCAGCAACACAAATTTCCGGAAGCATAGTACCTTTTCGATATGGGGAGGGGGGATTTTTCCTCTTAATACGGGCTGCGCGTTATCCTGTGCAAAAGTATCGCACTCGTATCAATGCCAGACTAGCATCATGACATCAAGTCTGGTTTTTTATGTAATTTAGCATGACAAATTGAATTATTTCATGCTGAGCTAATTTGTAATGCATCTACACGAGTACGATACTTTTGCAGTTCATACGCGTCGTGCCTATTCAACCAAATCGTTTTCTTCCTCGCACCAAGACACCAGGAACAGCCCTTGCTCGGCCGGGATCCACCAAGCCACACGGTGGGTCTCCTCCTTCTGGACGTGGAACAAGCGCAAGCGGTTTGGCTCTCACAAGTCGTGTATGCATTGCAAATATGTCCGGGTGGTCTGGAAGGTTGGAACTTGTGATGCCTTCTTTGGATTCTAAAAAAATCTGTATTGCGTGACCAGCAAGAGGCGCGTAGTTTGTGCTACGCGGAGAGGGTAGTTCTCATGCGGAATAGGTAACAGGAAGCCCTCTAAAAATCTGTGATGCTAGGTCATGCATTACAGGCGTCATGGGTCAGGCGAAGTATGCATGACAAGCCTAGCAATCTTCCAGACCCAGACATATTTGCACTGCATATCGACGGCAGCCGCCGACCGGAAGAATTTCATTCGGGATGTTGAGCAAGAGTATGAATAACGGCGGAAAAGGGAACAATAAAGGCGGCAAAGGGATGAAAGCTGCGGGAAAAGGGAAAGGCGTGGGGTGGAAGGGCAAGGGAAAAGCTGTCAACAAGGGGAAGAACGGCAAGGGAAAAGGTGCCAAGGGAATTGGCAAAATGGGAACCGGCAAAATGGGAAACGGCAAGGGAAAGGGAAGCAGCCGCGACGGAAACGGAAAAGGCAAGGGCGAAGGTGGCAAAGGAAAAAGTGGCAAGGGAAAAGGTGGCAAGGGAAAAGGTGGCAAGGGAAAAGCGGCGTGGAAATCAGCTTCCTTTGCGGAAGTCGACGCGGAAGGGACGATTAGTGGGCCACTTTGATTTATCAAATGCAAAAATGTCTGGGTCTGGAAATTTTCTAGACTTGTCATGCAGGTTTTGCATAAGTCTTGATGTCTGTGATGCGTGCCCTAGCATCACAGATTTTTTGAGGCCTTCTTGATGCCTATTCCGCATTACAAATGCCATCTCCGCGTAGCAAAAATTGCATTCCCTTTGCTGCTCATGCAATGCAGATTTTTTTGCCATCCAAATGCAGCATCACAAGTTCCAACCTTCCAGACCCAGACATTTTTACATTTGATATGATTGAGCTTTTTTCTGGTTGATTGTAACTTTGTTTTAATTGTCACATGATTTTTACATTTTCACAAAATTCATTCACTTCCGAAACTACACGCACATACTTTCTTACGTCACCGAGATTTTTTACAGCATATGAAAGCATTGTAACTTTTGTCTTCTTACGTTCTCAATTACCACTTTACAAGCGTCTTCTTACGTTCTCAATTACCACTTTACATTGTAACTATTGACTTGTTGTAAAAATTTTCAAGATCCACGCGAGCAGCATGCTCGTAAATCTTATGCACTCTATTTTTTTCGCATTCTTTTTGCAAGCATTTATCACCATTCGCACATTGTTATTGTAAACACGGACAAATTTTTTACTTTTTGGACACACGACACGCACTAGTTTTTCAATTTCATCGGCACAACAAGCATTGACTTCTGGAACATGAAAGAATAGAATTTCGGCATTAACAGTTTTTAGTACTACGAACACGCACTCTTCGAAGTAATTGAATACACCGAGGACCTCAAGTTTGAAAATTTTCACGACGAACTGATAAAAGAGATAAATGCAAAGAATAGGTTGCAGGACGGGGAAACACGGTCACGGCAAGGGACTTCTTGTTCGCCGAAAAGCAGCAAAAAGACTGGTCCGAGGGCAAAAGATCTTCAGGGACGAAGCAAAATAAATTCGCCTATTTAATCCTGTCTCGTCGCCGACGTTTACGTTCGAGTGACAGAAGAACTTCGAAGATTTACTTTATCGGTCGCGTGGAATATAAAGTTTTTCGGTATTTATTTTGATTTTCGTCCGGATTTTTTACAATGTTCGGTCCGAGTGGTCCTTTCCGACTCCGTGGTACTCTGGCTCCGAGTAGTTTTTATCACCATATAGTGAGCAGCTCGCGTCAGCGTCAGGCTGATTTTCAGCAGTTCAGTTTTGTCTTTTTAAGAAAATCTTCCATTGTAGTTGCAAATCGCTTCGTCCCAGCGCTGGTGTACGTCATCGTTGAAGCAGGTGCAATCGTTTTACTACCGACCTATCGTGGTTGATATTTCGGTTTTCTTTCCTCGTCCTGTTCCGCACGCGGGTGATCTACTTCCGTAAGGCTCTGTTGTCCTCGTCGTCCGTCGTTCTTCACATCTTCGTCGAAAACAAAAATCGTTCACATCCTCGTCGTCTTTCGTCGTGCGGCCGTGTTGTCCTGCTTTCTTCAGATTCCACTTTGCCCTAAAATGATGACCAACAAGAAGAACAACGAACAGCGACAACAAGTAGAACACGACCCCAAGTTACTCTCGAAAAGAAATTTGTTTCAACATTTACTGCTAAGTAGAGTAAGTACTACTAAAAATTATACCACCCCCTGCAAGGCATATTCAGTACAAAATTTTTTCTCACCTTGCATTGCTGCAACAAGTTGTAGACGTCAAAGCAATTTCAGCACTTCACAAGTAAGCCGGAAGTAGAGCAGGATAGAAATTTGTACCTCGTCGACTAGATCAACTACTCCTTTTTTTTGTGGTGTTCGGCAATACAACATCAATCTACTTCTACTTTATCATCAAAAGCCGTCGTCTGGGTGGTCCTCATCGCCTGCGACCCCTACACACCAGAAGGAGCTCTTCCACAGTTGGACGAACAGTTCGTGGACAGCAGTCCTCCGCAGCAGCGACTAGTTACACTCCTGCTCCGCCCTTCATCATCAACCGGCGACACGACATCAGGTACAAGTACACTACGGATATTTTTTGTAGTCGAGTTTATTTTGACTTTACGTTTTATTTTACATGTGCGCATTCATTCTATCCTAGTCCTACTGCCATTGAAGATTGGCGGGTACAACTTCCTCTTCTGCAAATGAATATGGTGCACCTGCTCTTGTGATCCGGCCGAGCACGGACTTCTTGATCCTGGCCTCGACAAGTAAAAGGCTTAAATTTTTGTCATGCATTTTTACAATCTGTTATCTATCAGGTGAAGAAGATGAATAAGGCGAAACAGGCGAAGGTGCTGCGGGACAGCTGTGCCAGGGCGGCCCCCGCCCGGGGCAGGTCCTCGTTCCCGAAGAAGTTAGCTGGCGCTGCGTTGTTCGCGCACAGCCAGACGGGGTGTGCACCAGGCGCGCACGGGTTTGAGGTGTTGCTCACCAACCGGAAGAAGGAAAATAAGGTGCACCTCGGCAACATGAAGAAGGAGAATGTTGTATCGCGAGGGAAAATCTTCACCCCTCCCCATACTCACAATGCAAATTTGTGATGTTAATTTGTGAGACCACAAATCTAGTCAGCTTTGTCTTGCATATGAGGCATCAAATAGGAGGCGTGTGGCGTATTGCACAGCCAAGCTGTCATGCGCTTTTGCCTACTGCATCTGCAAAGCTGTCTGTCATGCCTGAGTGCTAAGTAGACTTTTGCATACCTAATCAGGCTCAGCAAATTATGCCTGCAAGCGCTTACTGCAATACAGCGCTAATTTGTGTACGCAAATCCAGCTACAGAAATTCCCGTTTCGATGTGGGGAGGGGGCTTTTTTCACTTTGATATGTTGCGGCAGACGAAAAGAAAGTAGAGTCAATTACTTCATCGCTCTCCACCGCCAAGTGCACCACGCTCGCCACCAGCAGCTATTATCATCGGTGCAAACTATGCATTGCAAATATGTCTGGGTCTGGAAGGGTGCAAGTTTGTGTTGCTCTGCTAGAATGTCCCGCATCTGTCATGTACGATACCCAAAAGCCCCAATTTTCTGTCATTCAAAAACGCAGTTTGTCATGCTGAATAGACAACACCTTGCAACTCAGAAACTTGTCACGCTGAGCCGTCATTTGTGGCGTCTTCATGATTCGGCGGCCAGCGACGTCACAAGTTTCCAGACCCAGACGTATAATTTGCATTTGATACAAACTAGGCACTGACTACGATCCCCTGAAGATCACTTTTTGGAAGGGAGCGAAGAAAGGCGATGCCGAAAAGTATGCTGAGTTGACAAAAACAGAACCGGAAAACGAGGTGAAGGCTGACTTCTGGAAGACCGATCTTGGATTCGCTGCGCTGGACACAACGGTGTCAGCGGACTCTGCCTCGAAGCTGTTTGGGCTCCAGTGCGCAAATCATGATAAAGAAAACGAATGGATGTCGTGGGCCTACCAGAACGACATGACGGGCTTCAACAATTTCTGGAAGGGCGACAAATATGACGTCCTCGAACTGCAGTGGTGGAGGGCCCCGTGCATCACCAATTGTTTTTTTGGACATAACCAAAGGGATCGCAAAGGGGGTGAAGTGAAAATTGTCGGCAAGAACTGCGTACCGGCGGAATCCTCCGGAACGGGTGCAGCAGATTCATCAGCTTGCATGGGCTGCTGAACCTCCAAGACCGGGGGCGACGGAATCAAAAATACAATATTTATCGTCCAAGGTAGTATGTACTAGTACTTTTAATTAGTACTAGCTAGTACTGTAGAAGAGCAAACCGGGCAGGAAGATAACAAGTAGGTACCAGGCGCCGACGAGGTGGAAACAAGATATGGAATGTGGAAAAAGAAGCCAAACGAAAAATTGAGTATTTCGATCATACACTCGCGACACTTAGAGGATGAAGAAGGAGACGGTGTTGAAAAGTTATTTCTTGGGAAAAACATGAATCGTCGCGGAGAAAATCAGTTTTTGCCTTGTTGTTTTTGCCGTTTTCTACTTTTTTTGACATATTGCATGGTCGACGGCGTAATTGGTTTGGAAACCAATACCAAACCAGTACAGCTTTTTCGCCTGAAGAGGCAATTAAGTTTAAAGATGTGGTCCGGTATTCTTTTAACTAAATGTATACAAAGTCATTTTATTTTTCCCTCTTTTTCGTTTCGTATTCGTTTCTCTTTTTCATGCATATTTTCACGTCGTGGTCGTAGTCCTTCTCAAGTACACCATGAGCACACCACGACGTGAAAACGAAAAGAAAGTTTCAGATGAGTACCAAGGTATCCCCTTGTGCTTTTTTGAACCTCCCGACGTGCGGTAACTTAATTTGAATAGTTTAGAAAATATACGTATTAAAGTCCCCTGAGATGACTAGCCTGAGTTGCGAGTTGTAATACTATCATCTCTGCGGAAAAACAAATCTGAGGTGAAAGAGCATTCGTTCCTCTTGTCAAATTTATCGCGAAGCGTTTAGAACAAGGAACACTTGTTTAACATCGTGTTCGTGTGTTCCGATATTGTGGAATGTTTTGAGTCAGCCGAAAAAAACAGACTCAAGAAATATCATCATCGCGTTTTTCTTGCCTTCGTACGTTGATGTTTTTTTTCCCACGAGGATCGATTTATATGTTTTACTAGTGCTACAGTCGAGACAAACCGAAAGAGAGACTCTTAGGTTCGTTATTTTCCGCATCCGATCGCTCTCTGTCTGTCTGTCGGTCAACCTGTAGTTCTTGTCGTCCTTCGTTCACCCCTGTCGTCCTCCGTAGTTTGTTCGCCAGCATCACAACTGCAGCATATCATCCTGATTGGAGCATGACAAATTCCGAAATACGAATAGAAAATGCTTCTTATGGGGCTTTGCATGAGAAACATCATCTTCAGCATGCAAAATTTCATTACAAGCATGGGGTGGGGACGTTTTTACAAAGGATAGACACGCCGCAGTGTTCTTCTTGAGGCAATTTGTTATGCGAATCATACGGATGCGACCCTTTTGCATTGCATACCAACTGCGTCGGACTTGTTCCCCTTTGCCCTCCTGAGCTGCTCCGCTTTTATAACAGCAGCGCGAGTATGCATTGCAAACATGCCTGGGCCTGGGAGAATGATCTTGCTTCTAATGCGTCTGCTGGATGACGCGCATGGTCTCGAATGCACGCAAAAGCATGCAACACAGGCTTTGCCGAGGCCTCTTGAAGATGCCTATTCCGCGTGATCAGTTCCTTAATCTTGTGTGTGCAGCACAAATTGGGTGACTTTGGTTTTCATGCAATACAAATTTAAACGCCTCTTCGTCCAGAGGCAGAGTCCGCGCGACAAGTTGGAAATCTTCCAGACCCAAAAATATTTTCAAGTGATAGCGCGTTTTCCATAGTTTGGTTTTTTTGACGATGGTTGCAGCTTCGTCCACGTACTTCTGCGGAATCCAGGCGCACATCAGCTTGTGGACATGTTCTACATCCGGGAGGGAACCATCATACGACTCGGGACCGTAGGCGCGTGCTTCGGCGGGGGCGATCTGTTCATTAGGAGAATGGAAAGATTAAGGATTTCCATTGCAGTTGCGCCATTTTGTTTGTAGATGCCACGGACCAAGCATCTCGTTTGTAGATGCGACCTCGCCCTGGCACGCAACCTTGTGCTGGCAATGCGTGCATGACAAATTCCGGAAATCCAAACAGTACTACATGAAGAACTTGTCATGCACCGGGTCAATCTGTACTGGTGTTTGTAATGCTGTTGATGCCATACAAATCCAAATGAGGGGCAGGGGGAGTTGTGCACGTTCATATCAAATTTTCGTCGTGGATCTTCGCCGCTTCCAGCACCTCATGGTCGATTTTCAGGCTTTTTTCATTCTCATGAAGGTCGTCGTTGTGGCAGGAGCTTAGCTGCATCGTGTTGAGATGTTGTTGGTCCCCTGCAGCCTCTCCTCGCGCGGCTGCCACTGCCAGTTGTGCTACTGCTAAACGACGGACCTGGGTATCAAGTGCAAATATGTCTGGGCCTCGAAGAATGCAGACTTGTGATGCTCTTTTTCAGTTACGCAAAAAACCTTCGTTCACCCCTGTCGTCCTCCGTAGCTTGTTCATCTCGTGCAAGCACCCCTATAAAAAGATATCTGACTTCAGTTCAACTACATCGGTTGTAAAAACGTCCCCACCCCAGAGTCGAGATGGTAAATCTGCAATACAAATCTCCAGGAAATGGGAGTTGTGCATGACAAGTTTTCACCTGCAGCAGGGTAGTGCTGCTTAGCAAGGGAACAAGCCGCATGAGAGAGCCACTTTCTTATCCTGTTTACAGCATTACAAATTTCTTGAAAACACGACTGGAAATGCCCCTCATGGAGCTGCGCATTACAACAAATGATTCCGTCATTGCACATTTGCATGACAGCTCTGGGGTGGGTACGTTTTTGCTGATGATACTGACGGATACCACGGGGTACTTGATGCCCGCCTACGAGGGCGACCCTCCGAAGGGCTGCACTGTGAAATACCAGACCAGTCACGTATCAATTGCAAAAATGTCTGGGTCTGGAAGATTGCAACTTGTCTGGAAAGGCTGTTGCTGAATATTAAAAACGGGGGATGAAATATTAAACTGTAGTTGCGGAAATCGAAATAATAACCCTGACAGGCCAGAGCCGACCGACGCAGATAGGGTTGTTCCTTCAGGGTTACTTAATAAGGGGCTTAGGTTAGGGTTTGTATTTTAGCTCTACACTATGAAAAAATCCGGCTGCAGAACATGTTTTTGCTTTTATCATTTCAAATTCTACGTATGAGTTTCTTCCTTTTTAGTTTTGTAACGACCAGATCGAGATCCATTTTCAAATTCTACGGTGTGGTCACGACCAGATCGAGATCCAGAACGATTATTCTACCGGTTTTCCTTATTTCTGTCGTTTCGCACCCATTTGAAAGTATTAATGTTTCTTTGCCAAAAATGTAACAGTTTAGGTTTTTCTTTTTGATTTTGCACCTTCGAAATTTTCGTTTTTTCATTAAGTTCTTTTTGCCTCGTTTCAGTCGTCTCTAGGAGCAAACTATCGAAGGAGAAGCAGAAAGAAGCTACAACTCGGCTTATTTTTTGAAGCCTCCAATACAACAGTTACAGTAGCCGTACTCGCACGAGAATAATTACCTGACCCCCCCTATCATCACGCTGTAGCCCAGTGGGACTGGAGCGCCGCTCTCTTTTTTTCCGGCTTCGCAAATTCATACATTGATTGAGCAACTACTGGAAGACGAGCGCTAATAGAAATGAATTTGCTTGCCGGGTTATATCTAAGATTGCAATGGCGCGATAGTTTCTTTCGCTTGCCCACCCCATACCCGGACTCACTTTTATAGCCTCGGTGGAATGAAAAAAGCCTCCCGAACGAGGAAAGATGTAAAAGAAAGCACTTAGTGCACGTGGGCAGTCGTTCTTCAATTTTTACCCCCGTAGTTGTTGCAGAGTCGAGGAAGACGGGAAGGAAAGAGCGGAATAGCAACGTTTCGCTTCCCTTCCAGTCTTGCTCGAGCTATCCCGGCTCGGCTCTGCAACTCTGCAGCGATTATTCTCACAGTAGTAAGTTTTCATTCGATATCGATTCCCAGAAGAGGGAAGCCAAAAGCTATCACTTTCGCACGATGACACCCTTCGAGGTAGCAGGAGCAGCTCGATTTGCGGCTCGCGAGATTATGGGACAAAGTGAATGCTTATGCTTTCCTCGCAACAGTTTTACCCGACCCGCTGCCAAAAAAATATCCGCAAAAGATGGAAGCCTCTTCCCAGTGCGGTCCATGAAGATAGGGTAGGCATTGATTGCCACCCGCCCGTGTTCGTTCCGTGCAGAAAGTTTTTCCCTGCGTATAATGTGGTGTCCTTTATAATTTTGCGACTGTCCTAGTAGTTCTACTGGTTCTTGCTCCCCTCTCCCCTCCCAAATTTCTCTGCAAGATCGATGAGGAGAGCATGAGCAGGTGTTCAACAGCACTCCAGACAGCGGATGTTGTACTTAGCTGTTTGTTGAAGCTCAAATTAATAAAGCCCAACCGGCAGACTCAGAAGTCTCAGAAAAGCGGTACAACTACAAGATACGTCGAGCGCGTTTTTAGCTGACACTACGCAGCACTTAATGAGGCTAGGGTCCTGTTTTATGTTTTTGTTTTATTTAATTATGATGCAGCGGAAATGCTTTGAACAGCGGCACTGAGCAAGATCATCCTGAGTACTAAAAAGTAATTCCTCTGTTTTGAGATTAAGTTGTGCAGCAGTGCAGCGTGCGGCGTGAATCATATTAGAAAGATAGTTCTTAGCAGCAGCAGCGTGCGACCAAGAAGATGGACGAAGATCACGGTCAGGTACGGCCCGAAGATCACCTGGCAAAGGATCTCGTGTAGATCACGATCTAGACAATATATCTCACGCAAGATTTTTCCCTTTGGTTCCTTGGTTTATCTTTATGTGCATGTTGACCTGCTTAAGTATTTGATTTGTAGTGTTATGCTTTGCTGTTGCTGGGCCTGGGCATATGAGTCCGGTTCGCTAGGTGTGCGACTTTATTGAGCCAGAATTCATCGAACAATAGGATTCGCAATCACAGCTGCAGTTTCGTTTTGTTACTTGTAGTTTGTCAACCATCAAAATGTCGAAGGTTCTACTTCCTTTTGTTTCTGCAGGCTATTATGGTTGTTCTCATGCTCGTGCATTATAAAGCAAAGCGAGAGCTGAAACAGCTGCAATTGTAAGCGACACAAAAGCTTAACTTTTGATCTACCTATGAATACATTGTTCGTCTTTTTTTGCACGACTTTACCTTTAAATTTGTCTGTGTTTGCTGATATAAGCCCGCTACTGCCGTGTAATCTATTATTGCAAAAGTACGTCGTTTAATATTTCTGCGGAAAAAATGCCGGAGGGTTCTTTCGTAAGGCTGTAAAAAGCAGAAGTGAAAGACTCAACGACCAGAAGAATATTTTTACAGAGAACCACTCTACTGTTTCTGAAGATGACCACAACATTTACTAGATTAGTATGTCAGAACACCTCCTATTAAGCTTTGTCGAGGACTACAAAAGCTACGTGAACCACGACGCATTGGACCACCTCAGGGCGCCCTGGACGGCCTCCACCATGGAAGTTTCTCTTTCCTCATTCTTCAGCAGCAGCTCAGTTACAGCGGGACAGGACAGCAAGAGCAGGGGAACTTCTACGAGGATTTTTACACGAGACAGCGCAAGAACTACACCTCGAAGAAGTTGCTGTACCACGACGATAACAAGAGCGTTGAAGAGGAAGAGCACACGGACAAGATCAAGAACCCTGGAAGGAGCGGCAATGAAAACAAAATCCAGGGCCAGGGGCAACACGAAGGAGATGAAGCTGCATAAGATGCAGCTTCGGACATCACCATTGCTCCACTTGAAACAACTCAAGATGTTGACCATAAGCCTGGTTAGTTCCCCACTTTTTTGGTCCTCAGCGAGGCCTGCTGATGCAGCGGTATTAACCAAAAATGCCAACACAGAAGTGGACCTACAAGAATATCAAGAAGGGCAACTAGCAACATCATCATCCTCAAGCGGTAGAGACGAGCAGAGGTCATTTTTGCGAGGAACAAGGTCCTCCAGCTCTAAAAATACCGTTACCGGGGGAGATTCTACTGAAGGGGACGAAGTGCAACATCAGCAAGACCAGGACTTTCTCGTCCAGCGTTTCCGACGAGAGTGGAAACTGTACCAGGGTTTGTGTCTCTGGAAATCCGATATAAAAAAATCCCCTTCGACCGCGACGTCTTCATCTAAAATAGATCAACCTGAAACTGAAATAAGTCATCGCGAAGTTGTAGATGTTCTTGACGAGGCGAATAAAGTAGACGCTGAGGGAACACCAGGAGGCACCACTGCAGGTCATGAAGATGAAGGGCAAGAACTTGCTGTGCGAAATGTTGAAAAAATGACACGAGAAGTACACGAAGATCACGATCATGACCGCGAGCTCCTGCACGAGGAGCTGGAATTGGAAAAGAAGCCCGATTTCAGTGTCTTCGGGAGAACCCGGCCAAAAGGAACTACAAATGCCGCGATCCGGGCAGCTGAAATTCAAGCGGACAAGCGAGAAAAGGAATCCGCGGCTTTGGCCGGCAGAACCATTCACGATTTGCAACGCAGTGCGGTAGCAGAGCTGAAAAAACAGTGGGAAAAGTTGTCGTGGGAATCGAAGATGAAATTGCTTTTCAAGAATAGAGAAATTTTCGGTGTTTTCTTGCCAGAGTTCATGCGCAAGGACCTCCTTCTCGGGAAAGCGAAAGTTACAACTACCGAGGAGCAAGAACTGGAAAAAAACGCCTTCATCATGCCTGACGGGAAAACAACTTCGCCCCCCGAGGATCACTACTATCCCATTGCTCACACACCCACCAGCAGTGTGGGCGACGTCCCCGTCGCCGACGACTGGTTCTACAACTACCCTGTGGCGCGCACACCCAGCAGTGTGGGCGATTTGGACCACTTCGAACCTGTAGGACGACCGGGTGAAGCTAGTACACATGGAGGGCCCGACGTCCCCTGGCCAGCGTCCTCCGAAAGACCTTTTGTGGTTCATAATGCTCCAGCAGGTGGTGTTGTTTCCGAGAACTATCTCCTGCCCACTTTAATTCACCCGACGACCTGCTGTGTGAATTTTCTGCAGATCATGGGCCCTTGCAGCAATTCTGTTCATGATCCTAGTGCAGCTGCGGTGGACCATTCTTGTACCCACGCCGCTGGAATGGGAGCAATGGTTCTGCAGGGTCAACAACCGGATTTTTCCGAAGGCAACTTGCCTAGCTCGCCGGAAAGCAGTTCATCCTGTTGTTACAAAAGCGGTTCCTGCAGGTCCTCGCTGGAACTGAGTAAGAACGGAGAGGACCACGGAGCGCAGCAACAGCCGGGAAATGCCACCACGACGTCTTCTGCATCGACGTACTGCCCCAGTCCGGAGATGAAAGACGGCGGAATCACAGTGTTTACACCTCCATTCGTGTCGTGCAACGGGAGCAATTCGACGTCCGCGACACCGAATTCAAGTCCCGTGGCGGAGTCCGCGTTATCCATCCCAGAGGTGGATCACCCGGAACCGGAGCCGGAACGCAACGCCGAAGAGGACCCTGTTGTAACGTCGTGCCCGCACTGTGCAGCAGCAAGTGGGACCGCGGCTCTTGTTGCGAATCGTCCTCGCGAAGTAGATCTAGAACAACATATCGCAGCTGTATCAAATAAAAGTGACAGCGAGGGCCGGGATAATTCACAGCCGTGGACCGAAATGAAGGTCGTTGAAAGTACGTCCAAAAGAACTAAAGACAAGCGAGTAGTACCTCCAAAAGTGCCCGAAGTAGAACCACGTCGAAGCCGAAGGGTACAAGGTGCGGCAGAAGCAGGTGGCACAGCGGAGCAGGATGTGGGAGGTTCTCGAAAGAAGACTTCGATGTTGAAAGCGGCACACCATGTTGCAGACGACCACAGCGGAGGTTCTCGAAATGAAGTCGTGCGACCAGGCGATTATACCAAAAAGCAGGCACATGCCCCGCCTCTTATTTCACAGGACGTGCCTTGTATTGGTAGCACGACTTCTGCAGCAGCTGCGCCATCTTGTCTGATAGTACCCGACCCGGCAACATTAAAAGGCCGGCAGCAGGAGCGACAGCACCCTGACTCTACAACTAAAGCTGCTGGGACAGACGTGGAGAAAAAATGGAAAGCTGCTCCGCGTGGAAGTTGTACGAAGACGGATAAAACAAAAACGTCGCCCAGCAAAAGTTCTACTAGCAGCAGCAAGAGTAAGAATCCGTGGAGCGCGTTGATGCTATCGGATGACGAGGAGGACAGTGGTGAGCCGGCTGCTCTCCCCCTGTCGGGAGACGAGGATGAAACTGAGCCAGGCTTCAGCCGGCAAACGACAACGACGACCAGCGAGCATCCCTCTCCCGACGACAGGGAAGGACCAGAGGAAACGACGGAGAAAGTGCCATGCTGCGTCGACGGCGGTATTCAGGCAAAAACAGAAAAACTACACACATCCTGTGCACCACTAGCACTTCCAGAAGATGCTGTGAAAAAGGATGACACGAAAAAGTCCCGGACCTTCGAGGAACCCACTGCATCGCCGATGCCAAAATCTACTCCGGCTGCTGCGTCGAATGTTAAAGCGAAGAAGAAGAACGGGAACAAGAGCGGGACGAACAAGCAGGCAGAAGAACAAAGCAAAAGTTCTCGTACGCAGATCGCGGCTGACATTTCTTCTCCTACGCGCCACCACACGACCAGCGAAGACGTGTTAATACAGGAAGAAGCCAGCACACTAGCAGGAGAAGAAGTCATTGCCGTGAACGATCACGGGATTCCGGAAGTTTTGCCAGGATTGCTGTTTTATCAACTGCAAAAATGTCTGGGTCTGGATGAATGCATGTTCGTCATGCTTGTCTGGCATGACTCTTAAATCTGTCATGCACATTACCCAAGAGCCGGAGCCCCATTTTTCTGTCATGCAGAGACGCAGCCTGTCATGCAGAATAGGCAACACCTGGAAGCTCATAAACTTGTCATGCTGAGCCAGCACTTGTGGCCTCCTCGTGATACGCCACTCAGCATCACAAGTTTCCAGACCCAGACACTTTTGCATTTGATATGTTTTCCTACAACAAAAGACTCCCACTGACCACCTGGGACGACCCGGTCATTGAGAGATTTTTCAAGGAAATCGAAGCCGAGGCCGAGAAGATCTTGAATCTGAAAACTTCCAAAAGCACACAGAAGGATATAACCCGCTCAGGTGTTACAATCTCAAACGTTACAATAGAGTTTGCAACTTGTGTTGCATGATGCGCATGACTGACTCGCAGAGGGCTCCACTCTCTGCAATACAAATTTCGCCAGATTGTAGTGGGGTTTGGGACTCCGGAGCTTGTCATGCGCAATCCTATGAGAGTGGGCTAGAACATGCACTCTTGCATCACAGATTTCCATATTCTATTGTAACGTTTGAGATTGTAGCAGCTGAGCGGGTTATAAAGGACCTTATCCGCAAGCAGCTGGCGGATAAGAACTACGCGAAGAAAACTTTGCAGGAGCTTTTACCGAAGGCGCGGTGGGAAATTCTAGAGGGAAAGGCACGGCTGGAAGAGTTTTATTCCAACAAAAAGAGGGAAATAACGGAAAGGCTGACCATTTCTGCACAACAGGGTGATGGACAAGAACACCAGATGACGGTAGACCAACTCTACGACGCGGCTGTGGCGGAGGCGCGGGATCTCAGCAGCGAGGAAATTGCGGAAAAGATACTAAGACCGGATGTCAAGCGGGCTTTCAGCAAAATTGGGAATGTCATATCTCGTCAGCGGAACAAAATCCTGCCGCGGGAGTCCGAGGTTATCAAGTATCGCAAGAACAAACTGTTTCACTGTGAACTTGTGATGCATAGAATGGAGCACAGAACGATTTGTCTTGCTACAGCTGCAAGACATCGGATTTTTAGGCGTGTTTTCCCTGCTTTGGAAGCACGCATGGCAAATTTTCTGTGTCATGTGTAACAAATTTGTGATGCAGATCTTGCAAAGCCATCACAGTGAAACAGTTTTTTCGTGGGATATCAAGACGGGCGTTTTTAAAGAAGCCAGCACCGGGTTGTTGATGTGGGTGGACGTGTATCAAATGCAAAAATGTCTGGGTCTCGAAGAATGCAAGTTTCTCATGCTTGTCGGGCATGACTCGAGAATCTGTGTTGCATAAAGCACGAAGAAGCCCTCTTACCTGTCATGCAAAAACGCAGTTTGCCATGCGGAATACGTAAGACATGGCAGCCAAAAAATTTGTCATGCATAGCTGCGTATTGCAGTGCGTCTATCATTCACTTTTAGCATTACAAGTTTCCAGACCCAGACATATTTGCAATCCATAACGTGGCGGGCAGCAGCGCAGAGAAAAGACAGACGAAAGCGGGTCTGCAAAGCATGATGCGGGGGAGGATTGTCGTTGAGGTAGACGAAGCGGACGCGGTTTGGTCGAAAGAAAGGATGGAGGAACGGAAGCAAAGACGGACGGAAGTGGCGTTGGAAGATTCAAAGGTCCAAGAGCAATTGCAGCTGAAAGAAGCGCCAACTACAAAAGACCGTACAACGGCCCGCGTGGAGCAGCTACAGGCTCCAGCCGACACTACTTCTGCGCACCACGCAGTAGAAGAACCACGGGCAGATGAAGGCTCTGTTGCGGCAGCACCTAGAAGGGAAGCAGAGATGATGGTGGAGGCAGAGCCGAGTGCGATAAACCGTGGTGATGAAAAAATTGCTTCACAGGTGGACGTTGCTCCACAGGTGGACGAGCCGGGTAGAAATGTTCAACCACAACCATTACCACCTTCCGCAAGCACTCCTGTCGTCGCACAACTTGGGAAGAAGGCGCAGAGGAAGGCCAAAGCGAAGGCCCGAGCGAACAACGGCGAGAATAATAACCACACAAATAAATCCGACACAGCTCCTACAACCGCTGCAGACGGAGCTACAGCTGAAGGATCGGAGAGTATGACGGGACCACCAACAAAAAAGAGCACAGGTGAAAAAAATCAAATCCGCGAAGTAGTACCTACAAATATGAACAAGCACGGTTTTCCGGAAACCCTTCCCGCGTTGCTCTATTCTTACGAGCGGTTTCTCCCCTTAACCAGTTGGGACGATCCGAAACTGACGCAAATTTTAGCCGACATCGAGGAACACGCCAACCGGAATCTGGGGCGCAAGACCAGCGCTTTGGGGCGCAGTTTGGCGGCGCAACACCAACAACTTCTAACGGGGGCGCAGCAGCAACCAGGTGGAGGTCAACACCAGCTCGCCCAGCAATGCCGGGGCGGACTCCGGGGGAGCTTCGGGAGCAGCGTGGCGACGAGACAGGCGTTGTCGGAGAAACACTATGCTCAGAAGACGATTGACAAATTACTCCCCGAGGCGTACGCCGAAATTGAAGAGCAGAAAAAGCGGCTTCTCGCGTTTAACAAAGAGCACAGCAAAAAGGGAAAGCGAAACGAACTCTTCACGGAGGAAGAATTTGTGCAGATGATTCTCGCGCAGGAGAATGGCGGTCCCCCGCGGGCCTACGAGAAATTTGGCAACAAACTGGTGCGCGTGAACAACGATTCGCTTACTGGCTGCGACACGGAACTAATCCCAACCGGGGTGCTGAAGG